ATCCGAAATTCGCGTTTCACGGCAGGCATTTGAATTATTTGCCAGGCCAGGCGGGGCCCTTTCGCCCCCTCCCCTCTCGCTCTCTCTTACCTTTTGCACATGACTTGCGTCAATTATGCGTTCTGCCAATGGCAAATTCTGATCTAGAGGTGGAGGATAAAGGGCAGCAGGTTGCCCCAAAAGACATCCTTCTCGTCGTATCTGCTAGCTCTGACTTCCAAGGCTTCCTTCCTGTATTGCCCATCTATCAGATACCAGTTTCTCCACCCTTCATATACGCATTTAATTTATAGAAGTCACGTGAGCGGCATTTTTTATGCACATACAGCAGCAGTAGCAGTAGCATTCCACCCACACCCATCCAGACTTCATAACTCACCCTCTAGAATCGCAATCAGTGGGAAAGGCAAAGCGTGCCGGAATAAGCTGACTGCTGCTTGATTTGATGACTTTGGCAGTCAGCAAGAGATTTGCTCAGCCTTAAAGCCAGCAAGCAGCAAGTCAGACTTAGCGAGTGCCACAAATTTCTATATGTGTACATATAAATATATATATAGTTATATCTCAATCCAGCAACGGGTTGACATGGGGACAAATAATAACTGTCGCCAATCGTGATTGAGTGGATTTATGTTTAAGTTTTTGGCACAAGTGCAATGCGACTGTTCCTTTGATTTATTAGTAGAGGCAGCCAGAGCGAGAGATACAGATACACAAAGTGAGGGAGACGGAAACGAAGAGGAAGAGAGATGGGGAGATTCTTTAGAGAAGACATCAAGAACGGGCGCTGCTTAAATGAATTATATGGCGCTCATGTCGGCGACATCATAAATCAAAAAAGAGTCCATTTGTATTTGGTCTGGTTTCGTTTTGGGTCTCTCAGACTTGAGGCACTTCTGGCACGTGACTGACTCGAGAGCATGTCCATTTTAAAACTCTGCCAACTGAGTGACAAGAGAAAAAGAGCAGAAAGAAAGAAACCCTCGATCCTAATGGATTAATAGTTATATATGACTTGGCGTGAATCCATTATGTATTGCCCTAAGTGCTGGGCGGGGTGGCCATAAATAAAGCTAAGCTCATGATTTTCTATGTGAAATAAGTGAAAAAAGAGAAAATATGAAATAAGTGTTAGTAAACGTCAGAAAGCCTCATTCTGAAGTATTATGATAGTATTTTTGTGAATTGACAGTCATTGTGAGACTTTACTAGAATTTGGTCACCCCAAAAATCAAGCTGAAGATCAGTTTAATTATGTGGGTTACCAGCTTACTGGGTCTTGCATTGTTCGCTTGCTCAAATGAAGCAGACGAGAAATATCTTAACCTACTTTTCGAATAGTTTACTCATCTTTAAGGTTAATAGGCAAGCACTTGCTAACTCTTTGTAACCCACACACACGCACATGCACACATGTGTGACTCGTTAAACAAGTTCGTTTAAATGCCTTTACCTTTATTACAGTCGAGAGTCTTTGGACTGTTTGCAGTTGCGTGATTGGCATCCGTTTGCTATATCATCAGCATTATCATTATCGTCATTATCAACATGATTATTAACATTGTTATATACGCGCGTGTGTGTGTGTGTGTGCATGGGTGTGTGTGTTTGTGGATGGAGGCAATCAAAATGTTTAGCTTATACCATTAAATTGTATTTTTATCATTATTGCTGCGATTGTCTTGTGTTTCTCTCGCTCTATGCCAGTCCTTGTCTCTGTCTCTTTCTCCTTAAGTCTCTCGAACAATGTTTGCGCAATATAGCTGACTAAACAAATGAAAGTCGCATAAATAATGGCAAAAGGTTAATGTTAACTAAAACTATAAGTAAAAGCAACTATGCACATAAATAACAATATAAATTACAACAACTATGCACTTAAACATGAAACCCAAGAGTGAGAAGATGAAGCAGCAGAGGAAGAGTGTAATAAACTGAGTGAAAGAAAATTAACCAAAAGTCCGCACACGTGTTTGCCAGCGGAAGAGAAGGTAGAGAATTGGACATATATTTCCTAATGCCAAAGATAAATTTAACAAAGCAACTGACAAAAAGAGAGTAGTAATTGTTGTTGTTGTTGTCGTCGTTGTTGTGGTTGCTTTTGCTGCTGTGCCTTGAAATATTTTGCAAATGACGCAATTTTGCAAATAACAAAAAGAAAAGAAGAAACTAAATTTTTTATTTTATTTTTTTTAATAAAACGGCAGCCAGCTCGACGCTCGCCCATTTTCGGAATTACGTACATAGTCATACACAAATACATATATGGCATAGACTGTGTATGCGTGTGTGTTTGTTTGTATGTTTATTTTATGCCTTCTGCTCTTGTTGCTGTGCGCATTAAATTATGCGAACGATATAATTTCATTATCAGACAGCAACAAATAAAAAAAGTTCATTGGCATACGGGGCGTATGAACGTATTACACAGAAAAAGAGACAGAGAGACACATGCAAATAGTCATCAGACTTAAGCCAGTATACAAAAATTTTTCAGTTTAATTTATTATTTAATTACGAGACAGCGAGACACAAGGCAAGCGACAAGGGCCCAAAAATGTTGTATCTACATAGGGAAGGACAGACAGAGAGTGCGAGCGAGAGAGAGTGAAATATACAAACTTTAGTTCTGCTTAAGTGTTCCCATAGTGTGTGTGTGTGTAAGTACTTGTGCTGGCAGAAAAGATAACAAAAGCTGTGCAAAAGAAATGAACTCGCACTTGAACTCGTCTCGTCTCGTCTCAATTCTTTGCATTTCTTCACATGCCGCTCCGCTCGCTGCGTGCTCTCTGCCCCGTGCTCCACTTGTATCAAATATTTTATCAGCATTCGCAATATTTGTTTTGTTACATTTGCGCTTCAATGCGTCTCAACACACGCTGAGAGAAATTGTCAAAAAAAAAGGAGAAGATGAAGGAGGAAAAGCAAATAAACGGAAGAGGATATTATATAAAGCGTGTAGGCGACAGCTTGCTGCAGAGTTACCTTCTTACCAAGTACAATTCGCTTGCTGCTCCCCGTCTTCGCCTGCTGATAAAGCAAATTTCAGCTGTTTGCTGTCTCTGTCTGCATCACACTTCAAATGCCAGTTAGACACTTGAAGAGCAGCAAACCAAATCACGCACCAACAGCATCAGCATCAGCAGCAGCAAAAACAACTTGCCGATTGTCAATCAAATTCACACACATGCTTCACAGGCTAAGCAAGTCGAGTCACACACACACATTGTATTTTGTTAAGTGATGAGGGAATCGCCGTTCTATGCGATTTTCATTTATCTAAGGGGCGCTTACACATTGTTTTCATTTTGATGTGCTTAGGCCTATTGTATAGAAAACGATTTCTGTGAAGTCTCTCTTCCTCTACGAGAGGTTGTATTCTAAGTATTCTCACTCTCTCTCACAGTCTCTCTCTCTCTTTCAGTCTCTCCCTCTTTCACTCTCTCTCTCTTTCACTCACACTCTTTCACTCTCTCTCTCTTTCTCTCTCTCTATCTCTATCTATCTATCTATCTATCTATCTATCTATCTCTCTCTCTCTCTATTTTTTCACTCTCTCTCTCTCATTCGCTCTCTCTCTCTCTTTAACTCTCTCACTGTCTCTCTCTCATTCTCTCTCAATGGTACCCCTTTTCTCTCTCTCTCTCTTTAAGAGTATTCTTCAGTCTTCATTAGCTGTAAAGTTTCAGTATAAGAGAGAAAACTCTCTTCATCCTTAGTTTTTCCCAGCGTTACTTTCAGTCGTGCATACTTTATAGATTGAATTTCTCTATTATAATGGGCGTTACCATGCTACGCCCCACATTTCAAGTTGTAGGGAATTAAAAATATTTACCACACAAAACAGCTACAAAAATATTACAAATATAAACCCGAAAAGTGAATTTTAATTGAAATATTTAGTTGACTCGCGTTTTCATTTTGTGGTTGATTTTATTAATATTAAAATATCAAACTGTGATTTTTTGTATTCTTTTCATTTAAATTATTATTGTTGTTGTTGTTGTTTCTGTGGCATTTAATTGTTTCGCTTATCGCTGCGGTTGCAGCTGCAACATCAGCGAACCAAACTGTATGCCGCAAAATGTGGCAACTAACATGACACTAGACATGACATGTGATACCGTTTCGCAATTAGAATAATGGCAATCGCATCAAAAAGGGGCGTGGCAGTCATGTGTTACCTGCGCGCAGGAATTTTTTATTGCTTCATTATCTCAGTTGATTTGCTCGCAGCTGAACTTGAGTTGATATTTATCATAAAAAAAACTTGCATTTGAAAAAATATCTATGCATATGCATATACTATGCATTTTTATTTCTGGCAAATTTCCAAAAATAATAAAAAAGCGAAGAAAGCGCACAAAATAAAAGTGAATCAAGTGGAGCTGTGGAGCTGTTCGTGTGCTTTTGTGTGTTACATACAAATTTTATAGATTTTCAACGCCTGGCGTGCAATGCTGCCAAATATCCTGCAGCGCATTTACATACACACACACACACCCTTACACACACACACACTTGTTCTTGCACTGTTTTGTGGCATTTTAAGTGAAAAAACGCCATCATCAGAGCTTGGTCCACATGCCTTTCTTTGCATATCCAACTGTGTATCCTTTGCCAACTGTACCTCAACTACACCTACATATGTATGCTTGTGTTGTGCATTGTGTGTGTGTGGCATTGAATCGAGCTGAGCCATTCAATAACTTCGTATGGCTGACTGGAATTTCAATAAAAATACTTTATCTCTGGTACACACATACACATCGCAGACACACACTCGCATCCACACTCACACAACGTAGTGAAACAGACATTGGAAATATCGCTTAATATAATCGGGAACGGGGAGTTGGCGAACGCATTGAATATTTGCGTGAGCAAACTTTGTGGACAGCTTGTTGTCAATCTAACTGTAATCTGCTCTCTAAATCCGCATTTTATACTCAACTCTTTCTCTGCTGTTATCTTTCTCTTACCCTATTTGGACTCTCAAGTACGGCCAGCGTGTGCCAACTGCAGCCTCACCGAGCAACACGAACTCGAGCAGCTCATCGAACACGGGCTCCCAGAGCGGCACACTGAGCACCAGTCTGAGCAACACGACAAACACAAACACCACAATGGGTCCCAACGGTACGGCACAGAATCAAAATCAACAGGGCGGCGAGCAGTTGTCAAAGACAAACCTCTATATACGCGGACTGCAGCAGGGCACAACCGACAAGGATCTGATCAATATGTGTGCACAGTGAGTATCAATTATGCCAAATTATGCTTAAGTAATTCATAATTAAATATATAAACGGACAGATATTTAAATTTAAGGTAGACAACATGCAGGTTAATATCTAACTATATATAGTCTGGCGAGTAAACACTTGCAGGTGTCTTGGCTATAAATGCTATATTTACGTCCTGGAAAGCGAAGGCATTTCCAATCGAGTAGCTCTAAGAGATATAATTATATTGTTAAAACCAGTGCCGCCTCACTTGTTAAACGTAAAGCCAAGCGGGCTAGGCTCATACATGAAATGTGGATAATTCAAGTTAAACTGTTGCCATATCGATTCTATTGAAACTATGCTGGGCCAAGTAACCCCTAGCTAGAGAGACGTGTATCAGAGTTGTGTTGCGGACATGGCCGAAAGCTTCAACTCAGTTCGTGCCTCATTCCAGCTGCTAATGAGCAGCTTAGCCTCGACTCATTCCGCTTCGTTGAATTTCTACAAAGGCCACACACATACACAATTCAATAGACCCCTTACTATCCGGTCAGGGGGCAAGCAACCCCCAAAAAATATATATATATATTTTGTATGCCCTGCCACCCGCTCCCGCTCCCCGGCCTGGCTGTTCGCCGCAGTCCGCAGGAAACCAGTTTCAGCAAAACTAAACAAAAATCCACTAATTAGAGCACACGCTTCATCACGAATATAAAAACAAATAGTGGAACTTCAACTAGAACCACTTGCAAATGATTATGATGTGGTATGTTGTGTATATAACGCATACGCAATGTGGCGCACTCTATTTAGGCCACCAACAAAATATGCATAAAACCATACATATATACTATATAGATGAAACTATTAAAGGCCACGCACATAAAAATTAATGAAAATAAAAACATCAAACAAGCTTAGAGTGAGTAGAGCGGGAAAACAAGGCAGCGGCTGGGTGTGATTTGCGAGGCAAGTCCTGCACAACGCGCGAGCTTACACGGGTTGCGTCTTAGCTGGCAAGGGGGCAGCCACACGATAATAATTACAAGTCAACTTATTAAATTGAAGGTAAATTTGGCTTTTTATAGCGCAGCCTGGGTTGGCTTGGTGTAGTTGGCCGTAAGCATTGTGCGCCTAAGCCCACCCTTTATGCTATTTTTTGTGCACTCTGTTTGCCGCTGGTTGACTGCGAGGCAATCAAAATAAGCGGCTTATTTGCTTGGGCAGCTTTAATGTTATTATAACTACATATATACATACATCTATAGGTATATATATATATATACATAAACTATACGAGTGTGTGTGAGTATTATCGATGTCTGTAACTATGCTGATATCGATTTAATTTGCCTCTGGTCCAAGCTTAAATAAGCAATTTCCAACGAACAATAATTCGTTGCCTACTTTTGAGCGCGTTATTAATATCGCAGTTTAATGACTATTTAATTGCCTATCCTTTTGGGCCGGCACAGAGAAGCGTGACGTTTAGTTAAAATCAACAATAAAGCAGAGAGGAAATAATAGAAAAAGTGAAGCCAGCTAAAACCTCACACGCACAGCTTATGACAGTCAAACAGCAGGACAGGCATTAAATAAAGGTAGCGATGGGAAGAGTGAGAGAGAGAGAGGGAGGGAAGAGAAATGTTCGTGACATGCCAGAGTCTTGTAATTAGTTTTATGTCTACTTTACATATGTCTATTTCGTTGTCTAATTCACGGGGTCTGCCCGCTTCCGCTCTATTTCTCCCTTACAGATACGGAACAATAATATCAACCAAGGCTATTTTAGATAAAACAACAAACAAATGTAAAGGTATTTTTTTCTTCACCATTCTCATCATTATTTTATTTATGTGTGTTTTTCGTATATGTATTATTAGTATGTGTTATGTAATCGAAAAAAAAAACAAAAACAAGAAAAAAAAGAGAAAAAAGTATATAAAATAATAATCGATGATTTCTTTCAAGGATTTTCTTTTCTCTCTTTTCGTATTTTGTATTTTTATAAGTTTATAAATATGCGCAGTACTCAAAAGGTCAAAAGGTTAACATTTGTTAAGTTGAACAAACAAACGTTAGAGGATCTTTATATACCTTGCTCTTTCTAATAAAGAGAAGGTTACTTCCTCCTCTCTCTCTCTCACTGTTTTGATTCCTTTGAGTACTTGGCATAGTTTTCTTATCTACTTGCGTATATAGTTTCTTTGTTTAAAATCTTTTTGCTCGTTCTCGTTAATTGTGTCTGGTATTTTGATGTATTTATTAAATAAAAAAATAATAATCAATTGGCAGATAAAATTGTCGATTTTTCTCTTCTTCGGCTTTCATTTGATTAATTGGAATTATAATTTTATGATTTCGTATAATTCTCATTTCGCAATCGAATCATTCATGCATTCACCTTACTACTACTGCACCCTAAACCTCCCCGATATACCCTATATATATATATTACCACTGCTAATGATATTTATATTGATAATACCCGCTCCTAAAAATATATATATACATAAAGTATGCCAACGAGCTGTACAAATAACTGTGTGCGTGTGTGTCTATGGAAGGCTTTAACTACTCCGTGATTTGATTTATTTGATAAACATATATATATATATATATATATATACATATATGTATATAATATATATATTTTATTATTTATTTGTTTAACAATTCCCGTTGCTCTCTTTATAAGTTACAGCTAAACTGTGAGCCGACAAATTATTAATTTATTTTTACCATTTTCTCTCTTTCTTTCCACCCCTCTCTCTCCGACTCTTTTCAAATGATATATTTTGTTTTTGTTTTGTTTGTTTTTCATCTCTTTGGAACTTATTTTGCACGTGCGGAAACAATTAAATCTTGAATTCAATTCTTTTGTTTGTAAAAATGTGTGAACTTTAAAAATAAAAACTCAATTAAAATACTCTTATTCTATTTATACCAACTATATATATATTTATATATATGTCTTTCAACATGCAATTAAAAAAATTCCACCTCCGCCCCCTGTAAAACAAAACACACAAAACGCAAAAAAAAAACAACAACGAAAAACAAAAACAAAACAAAAACAAAATATATTTCTTACAGGTTACGGCTTCGTCGACTTCGAGCAGCCGGCCTACGCTGAGGGGGCCGTCAAGGGACTGCAGGCGAAGGGCGTGCAAGCTCAGATGGCCAAAGTGGGTATCTGGGTGCTTCATAGGCCGGCCATTGTACGTTTGTTTGCATGCAAGTAATACTCACCCCTCACACCGCAAACTATCCTATACCCAGACCCCCTAATCCACTATCCGTAATCCTTAAACCGTAATCCGTAATCCGTGTCTAACCTTGTACTAAAATCCACATTTGACAACTGACCCAACGTTACCTCCCAACATTACAATTCGTTGACACAGCTGCTTCAAATAGCTTTTGTTTTTAAGTGTATTTTTATATATTTTATTATATTTAAGTGATTTTTTATTGTTATGTTTTTATATTACTTTTTAAGCAGCGAAGCTGCTAGTTTTCCCTGCAAATTCAGCTCAAGTTTATATTGAAATCTGAATTATTTTTAAATCTTTTCTTCTTTAATGTGCAGCTGAAGCTGCAGCTTAGGTGCGCCCATTTGCATCAGAATATGTGAAATAGAAATCGAGTTTAAAGTTTTCCGCCCTCGAAATTTGCTTTGCATTTCAAGCGAACCTCAAACAGAAACCCACGCACAGCCCTTAAAGGTCAACTTTCCCACGCTGTAGCTGCTGAGGTATTTCATCAGAGCTGCAAATTCATTTGGGGTGCTCTTTGCTCTCTTCTGTTCTATTCTGTTTTTTGTATCCTTTTTCATTTCGCATTTGCAATTTCAGTTTGCCGCAAAGTCGGTCGCAACTTTCTGTGCGACTCCCACACAGAATTTGCGTGGGCTAAATAAATTGCCAACAATTTTTTTTGTTCTGTTGCTGGATCTCAATTTAGTTTATTATAATTTAAGTTTTATTTTGAACAAAATCTGAACCCAACCCAAAGCCCCAAGTCCAAAGCCTTAGCCAAAACCCTAGTTTGTAGTGTTGTTAACCTATATATATATATTTAAACAGACTTGTATATCGTACTATATACTCTTACCCCATTATACTTGATTCCCACATCTAAACACTATATTAATCTAGTACATATTTAATATCCAATTTAGTAATCCATACATAAATCATATTTAGCGTAGCTTAAACATGTTTTATTAACATTCATAATTGAAAATTCTGATATAACTGCGGCAGACTACACAATAAATTATTTGCATTTATTATCAAATGTACTCGTAGAGATATTTCCCCATCAGCGCTCAGCGGGCTTAGCTACAAAAATACGAAAAATAAAATATGCATTGAAAATGCGCTTCAATTTAGTGTACATTAAATAATATTTGAAGGCAAATGCATTCATTAATTAATTATTGTGTTTGTACCTTCCTCTCTCTTTCGTATTTATTATAAACTTGTTATAATCAACGTTTTTAATCCTCTTTTAGCAGAAATTGAAACAATTATAATTTGAAATCGAAACAAAAACAATTTAGCGGATTAGTTGGTAATTAATTGTATTAAAGGCGATTCTTAATTTTACACAATTGATCATTTTAATAGTCGCCAGGTATTTGAATCAGTAATCCTCAACTCTATAAGAAGTATTACATTTATATTTTATTTATCACTAAATTCGTTCGACATTTAGTGCTGTCGCACTACTATGTTCATGAACACAGCTGTATCTTGTCTAGCTATCATGTTCAAAGTATAGAGAACTAGCTCATCAAGATATTATCTTAGCAGCAGGTTGTAATCGAACTAACTGTGGCATGCCGCCGTTGATATAGCCTAGCAGATTTGACAAATAAAGCGAATGTTAAAGTAGAGATCGAACTCTTCCGAGCTTGAAGAACTTTCTTCACATTTTCTCTAAGCTATTTGCTATTTCGAATATCTTCCAGATATATTCATGTATATCACATCCAATATCTGCTAGACTATATGAGATATAGTATCAGATGTACTCCTGGAACATATGTATATTCATACTTTAGAATCTTTTCATTTAGTTTATTGGTTTTCCGAATATATACCTTAAAATAATATATATTTTCCTATATGATAAGAACTGTGAGGAAACTGTTAAAGCGAAATAATATACTTAACTTAATTGTGGGGAAAATAATCAAATTCAAATATCTTAAAGCTTAATATTCTCATTATCTTCTAAATATATTATTCCCTTAACAGTTTTCTGTGCATATTTAAATAATAAACTTAGAAATATATACAGTACTTTCTAGTTATAAATAGTATATTATTTAATATTTTTGGTTTAAGTAGTTAACTTCAACTCGATAATAAAGTATCAAAACTTAACTTGGTCCAATTACAGCATAGAGAAACCCCAATCAAAAAAGAACTTGTTAACCTTTTATATTAAAACTCTTCGATTTGTATAGCCGCCATCATTAAACGTATTTTAGATACATATTAACAATTGATTAGATAGAAACGAAGAAATCGATAATGTAAAATTGTAAACAAATCAAGAAAAAAACTATAATCTAATATATATAGTTACATATATGAAAATAGCTATAGAAACCATAAAGATAGCTGACACTAAGGAGCTCATTAAAACGTTTGTCTTTATTTTCTACGTAACGCATTGAAGCCTAACGTAACGTAACGTAAAGTAACTATATTAGCTAGAAATATATTTAGAATTGATGATACATTTAATCTTCTCTCTATATATAGATCAAAATATATAACCAACATAACATGTATCTCTCAAAAAACTGTATAAATTGTAATCGTATATTTGAAGTTATAGCCAGCCATATAATCAACCTACCAAGTTTGTTGTTTGAGTACGCAAAATGCTACAAACCTGCGCCGGCCAAAAACTAACTAAGATATCTATATACTTATATATATATATATATATAATATAAATCAAAGAAAACAACAACAACAAAAACTAAACTCTAAGTATAAAAAAAGAAAGAAACTCAGTCTAAGACATACATAAGAGATCAGGTATTTAACTTAATTAAGTGCATAACTAGGCGACTCTACATACATACATACATATCACATAAACATGTATACATCTGACACTAATTGTACCTATGCAATTTGTATATAAACTTGATCTAGGTCTGTTAGCGAATTCTTTAGAATTCGTTATTTTTCTCTTTAGGTATTTGCTTAAGCAATCTATTAGGTCTTGGCATTACTGACACACAACATACAACATTCTACATAAGCATTAAGTCAGGCACACTCAACAACACACACATTCACACACACACACACACACACACACACAGAGCCAGTTACCAATAACAGAAAATTGTAAAATTTTACTAAAATTTTTACTAATGACAAAATTTCTACGTTTTAATTTTCTTTCCTCCTCTTTCTCTCTCTCTTGAAACGCGTCGTCTTTGTCGCTCATACGAACACACACTAAACACACAAATACACACACACACACGCATCATTAACACACACACCACGCTCACATACATACAACATGCGCTTTTGCCAAAACTGCTTTTGTTTGTGTATGTTAAAAATTTTGTGTGCAACTTTTCAAACAAACCGAAACAAAAAACCAACTAAAACTGATTCGATTGATCCTCCAACAACAATGAACAACAACAACAACAACAACAACACAACACGCTGCTATCCTATGCGTACAACAACTACACAGCAACAGGAACAGGATCCCACAAATTTGTATATTGCAAATTTGCCACCACACTTTAAAGAGACCGATCTGGAGGCAACGCTAGCGAAATATGGTCAAGTTGTTTCCACCAGAATATTGCGTGATCAGCAGATGAACTCAAAGGGTAGGCCAACAACATAAAATATACCAAATTAAATAAATGATATAACTCAATAATATTAATTTATATAACTCAATATCTTTGCAGGCGTTGGCTTTGCACGCATGGAGAGCCGCGAGAAGTGCGAACAAATTATACAAATATTTAACGGTACCACAATACCGGGTGCCAAAGATCCGCTATTGGTGAAATTCGCCGATGGCGGTCCCAAAAAGAAGAATCTCTTCAAGACGCCCGATCCAAATGCGCGCGCGTGGCGCGATGTCTCCGCCGAGGGCATACCCGTTGCCTACGATCCGACTATGCAGCAGAATGGCGTCAGCGTCAACGTGGGCACACCAATTGGCGTACCATATTCGCGCTTTGGTGCACCCCAGGTGGGTGGATATCCGGTCGCTGGCTCACAATGGATACCCGGCTATATGATGACCCAGCCGATCACTCAGGTAGATGATCAGGTGAGTGACGCACACATTCTCTAACATGCCGACATATGCCCAACATTTATCAGTATTCCTCCTCTGCATTGCAGTACATGCAAATGGCTGCCGCTCCCCAGTTGGGCGTCACCTCGTACAAACCGGAGGCAGTCAACCAGGTGCCCACACGCGGCATTTCGATGATGGTCAGTGGCGACACGGCTGTGCCATACGGAACAATGATGCCACAGTTGGCCACCCTCCAGATTGGAAACTCTGTAAGTGCCAACGAGTGTCCGCATATGAACAGAATAAATATATAAGTATAGCTATGAACTATTCAAATAATACTCAAACTTGTATATATATGCATATATGTATGACAGTGTTGACAAGCATAGATATTGATGAATACAATCTTTATCGTTTTCTATATAATTTCGATATTTGCAATATATGATAGTTATAAAATATATCGATTCTAATAGCTGACTACTTTTCTGTAGTATTCCAATTCCAATTGATTCTACTTGAAATATTCCAATCTATTATGCATATATATTTATATAAAGCAAGCTTGAGTATTATCATATATCATGATTGAGTAAATGTAGATTGATGATAAAAATGTATATATATATATGTATATGTATATATATATATATATGTGTGTATGTGTGCGTGTGTGTTTTTTTGCTATTAAATTTGAATGATGTTTGATATATAATTTGTATTCTATATCTGTTCTTTTATTCCATTGTTTTTTCCGTTCTCTTTTCGGTTCCTTTATAGAATTTTTCTCCATCGTTACAGTATATTAGTCCAACTTATCCATATTATGCACCACCACCAACTATTATACCAACAATGCCAATGACAGATTCCGAACAGGCTAGCACAGCTGCATCACCCGACGAGGCATACACACAGTATCCACATCAAGCCGCTCCCAAATAGGTCTTCGCGAGGTGAGTGATGTCTCTCTGTCTCTCTCTCTCTCTTTCTCTCTATTCATCACTGTCTCTATTTGAACATCTCTTCCGTCTGTTAATATGTTGAGCTACGACTAATCAAGTCTGTGCCTCACTCTCTCTCTCTTTCTCTGTCTCTCTCTCTCTCTGAGCTTCATGCATCTGCTTTAGTTGTGCTTTGTTGTTTTGCATTTGACTCTATAGCGGGTACTCACTGTGTGTGCGCCACCCACTTAGAGCGCTGTAGCTTTCTTACGTTTGCCAACACTGTTTTGCATGTGCTGTGTGCTTAAAGTTTAACCATCTCACGACTCTTACACTCTCACTCTAAATCGCCTCTCAGCATCTCACGATCATTGGTGATTTTCTTTCCTTTACTATCATCTCTCTCGCTCTCTCTCCCTCTCATTTTACATTTGTTTTGTGTGCTGCTTGTTGCTTGCCTGTTTGCTTACAAAATCTGTTCTTGACTTTGAAACTTTTTAACTCTCTCTCATTACTAAACGCAATTCTTTTATTTTCAAATTGATTCCTGCGGTCTCACAACTACAACTACAACAATTACTTACATACTTAGTATAGTTACTAAGCAGCCTAAACACTGGTAATACATACTAGGTAAATATCATAGAAATCCTGCTTACAAAATCTTTTACCTAAAGATTTATTTTTAACTAATCCAGTTTTTATTATTTCAGATTTAATATGTTAGTACTTCATTTGAGTACTATGTAATGGACGCGATCGAGGGTGAGCGTTGGGAGCTTTAAGCGCTGGAATAACAACAATAAAACAACAACAACAAGAACAAGAAAAACATCTACAACAACAACAGCAGAAGATGAAGAACATGATTAACAGGATGCCACATCGGAATGGATGAAGAAGTTTGATAACAGTCGAAAATGCTGTTCCCTAAAAAGAGAAAATAATGTTAAAAGAAAATAAAGAAAAGATAGAGAAAGATAATTAAGAGTTATGTATAAAAGCAGCAACAGCAACAACAAAGGAATGAAAAATACATACATGATTAAAAGTGTAAGGGCGATTGAGGAAGAGTTGAGCTAAGAAAGAGAGCGTAAAAAGTGAAGAAAAGCAAAGACTAAACTTAAATAATAGAAATTAGTTATACACTAAATAGTATCGTTAAACAACAGCAACAAGAAAACGGGCAAGTAGTAGTAGTAGAAAGGGGTCGCAATTTTCATTGAGAGCGCAGGAAAAACTTACCAGAACGGGGGCAAATAGGAAACAGAAAACGGCAACCAAACACTTGAAGCAACAGCAATTTGCAAATACAACAAAAATAAAACAAAACTGAAAAAAATGAAAGAAAAGAAAACGCAAAACTCTAGTTAAGTAGATCTATGTAAGGAAAAACCAGAAGTTGCATGGAAACAGCAAAAGGGAAAAGAAACGCAAACTCATGTAAAAATGTTAAACTACAGAGAAAACCAGAAAAGCAAACAACTTTGTGACGAAATAAAGCAAAACAAATGAAAACCGAAGAACCCAAAAATGTGTGCAATGTATGTTAAACGAAAAACAAAAAACCAAAATGAAAATGAAAATGAAATTAAAAATAAAAAAAAAACCAACCAACAAAAAAGGCAAATAAAAACAATTTGACAAAGTTAAAAAGAGAAAATAAACAATTGAAAGTCAAGTAAAAGCGAATAAATTTATTTTTTATTGTCGTTCATGAAACTGAAGTTGAAGATAAAACAACAAAATGAGAGAAAGAAAATTTTGGTTTTCCAAGATTTTTATTTTGCTATTTTAATTTGTCTTCTATTCGATTTTAAATGCAATTTTTAAGAGTCAAAAGTGTTTGAAGCACAAAGCTACAAAGCTAAGAGAGCGACAATTTTACCCTCCTTTCTCTCTCTCTTTCTCCCACTCTCTGAAATTGTTTTTCGTTTTGTAAAGAGAAAAAAGAAGAAGCAAAATGTCTAACCCTTAAAAGGGGGAAACATTCTAATTTGTTAATTGCAAACGTTTCACACATTTTGTTAATTTGAACAACTGCAAACAGAGAAAAACTGAAGCAGAAAGTTAAAAACAAAAATGAATATAAAAATTAAAAAAAAAAAAAAAACTAGATTTAAGTACTAGCAAAAATGCAGTAAGCAGCAAATTTAGTAGTTCTTAGAGTCTAACAGATGAAAGATAAAGCGACGCAGATGATGGATGTTTAATGAAGTAATAAGCAAAACAAAAGCAAAATAATAATAATAATAACAACAACAAGAAGAAGAAAAAGAAAAACAAAACAAAGAAGAGAAATAATAAGAAATCTTGTACTAGTTTTTAGCATATTTTTGTGCTCATCAGTCGATTTAATGAATTTTTTGTAGCTGTCTACAGTTTTTTACGTTTAACTGTGTGTGTTTTTTTCTAGCAACTACGACTAAGATATATTCTTGAATTAAGAGGAAGACGAAGAACGGCAGCGATAGAAGATAGCAAAGCGTATTTTTTGTCTGCAGAGCAAAGAGTGGAGCGATTACGATTAGGATTTTGGAATAGAAATGGAAAGTGCAAGGAAAACAATGAGGCATACACAAGAAGAGGAAGAGAAGGGAGGCGCGGATATGAAATTGTAGCAATGTAGTTTAGTTTCATTGTGGCACGAGGAAAACGTAGTGAATTTGTAAGTGGAAAAGGATGCGATCTGTTTTTTTTAATATAAATTGAATGGAATGCAAGCAGAACAACAGGCGCGCGCAGAGCAACAGTAGCAGAAATGAAAGCAAAAAACAAAGCAAATTAATGTTAAATACAAAAAGAATTAAAAACAAAAAAAAAAACTATGTTTAGTAAAGTAGTAATAAGAAGCAGAAAAAAATAGTTAAAAAAGATAATGCAGCAGCGATTATTTCTTTAGTCTCTAAGTGTAAGTCTTAAAAAACAAACAAAATAGTCGATGGGTTGATAGATCGCTAGATCAAAAGATCACAATAGACAGACAGGCAGCACAGTGTTTGAAATTGAAGCCTAGCGTATTTATTTTCTATAACACAAACACACACACACACGCTCATATAACCCACACACACACACACATTGTATTTGTGATTTAACTGATTGAATTATTACTGAACTTGCTTTGAGAATCTCAGAGAGAGGCACTTGCAAAGAGAGCGTTAGTCAGAATCTTGTGAGAGAGTGAGAATTTGAGATTCGGCAAGCTTCCAGCAGGGATTTACCTTTTCATTGATCACGCACACACACACTCAACACACACACAAACATTCCTGAGCAAAGTCTTTGATTTTTCATATGTATGTTAACTATGTTACATATATGATTTGGCATTATGTGGATTGCCTATATGCTAACAATCTATATATATATATATTTATATATATAAATACAAAATGAAAACACAACGCCAAAAGTCTTCCTAAGCCTAAACTAAAACAAAAAGTGCAGTGCAACAACAACAACAGCAAGCAACAACTATCATATATATAATTTATATACTCTCTCTTTCCTTTTAATTTGTATAATATGTAATTTGCTTTAGACTGAATACCAAAATGGAAAATGAAACAATAAAAGAAAACAAATTGAATTCAAATGAAAATGCAGGATCGACGAACCTCACACAGACACTAAAACACACACACTCACACACACATACACAGACTACAGAAGCAAGCGTCCAAGCAGCAAGACATCTAAAAATGGGGCAAAGAAATATTTTGCATAAACATTCCAAGAGCAAAAAAGCAAAAATAACTAAGCAAAGTTTTATACACAAATTGAATAATTGAATAGAAAAACGTAACGGGACGCCACTGCGTACACAGGGAAAAGCAACAACAACTGGGAAAACGCGAATCACAAATACAAGAAAAATTTCAAGAGTTTTGTTTTTGAGTTTTCACATGCTCACATTTGTCTTCTCTCGGCCCATCCCTTCCCCCTCCCCACACACACACACGTCCGCCCTACGACAGCCCCTACTTTTACTTTCTGTATTTCTACACAAAGTGCAATTTTTTTCGATATCTTTTTAAAATATTTATTTGTTTAATTCTTTTTTTTTTAATAAATTTTTGCGCTGTTTTTAGGCAGAAAAAAACATTAAAGTTTAGGTTATTTATAAACGAAGAGTAGTAGAAGAGATAGTGAGAGCCAGAAGAAAAAGAAAGTAGAGAAAAGGCAAGAAGAGAATCTTAGCTGCAAGGAGTTTAGGAAACCTAAGTTTTTAAGCCGACATAACGGGGCAGACTACAAAGACCCCCGCAAAGCATAAAACACATGTTGTAGATGATTATAAAAGAAGAGAAAAAACATAGAGGAAGACGATGATGTAGAGATGCAGGATTGAGCAGATTGTGGCTAAGGATTAGGAGTAGGAGTAGGAGTAGAACTAGTAGGAGAGACAACAGCAACAACAACTTAGTAACTAAGATCAAAGCACTAGAGTTTAAGTTTAGCTGAGCTAAGTATAGATTTGACAAGAGTGTTGCGTTGATTAAGGACAACAAGAAGAAGAAGAGGCGAGAAGAAACGAGGAAGCGAGGAAGCAGCAGCAGAATAGTATGTGAAGTGTAGTTGATGTAGGAAATATGATTTTTAATTGGTAGGAATTAGTTGATTAGAGTGAAGAAGAAGACGACGACGACGACGAATGGACAGAAAAAGAAGAGGAATAGAAATTTGTAGTTTTTGGGTAGTTAGAGAGACGTAAACAGTGTTGGTAAACGACGAGTCGTCAAGTTTGGATTAGTTTTAATTTTGCATATAGAATCGATTGATCGATCGACCGATCGATTCGTCTAATTGGCAGAGAGAAGATTATTATATATGCAGATATTTTTTTAATTGAAATTTTTTAATGCTATTTCTGACACAAAACCAAACTTAAGAGAAGAAAAAAAACTTGTTTGTTTTGCGTCTGTATTTTGTTTTAATTTAATGCGTTTTACTTTAGTTTTTTAACTAATTTTAAGTAGTTAATTTATTATTTGTCGTAAAAATGAAAAGATAAGCAACAACAACCACAACACGGAGAAGAACAAGAATCCTTTGAAATTTTGCCTGTTGCTCGCACAATTTGACGAGCGCAAGGGAAAAAGAAATTGAAATGAAAATTGAAAATGAAAATTGAAATTGAAGAATGTGTTGAAGTAATTTTTAAAGCAAATGTCTAGTGCGTAAAATTGAAAACTAAACAACAACAAAAAGAACTTTGAATAAAAAACTTAAAAACAAAAACAAAAAAAAAAATAAAATAAAAAAATTCAACTGTTTTTCATTTAAGTTTTGTGTTTGACATCATTTGCTTCATTGTTTTTTTTTTCATATTTTCTGTTATGCCCCGCCCCCCTCTCTTTTTAGTTTATAGTTAAATGTTTGCTATATATAAGTTGGAGTAAGCTTAATTAAACTAACTCCAAACTAGTTTCCAGTAACAAATTATAAATGAATTGAATTGTGTTTTAAACAAAGGGCGAAAAGAACAACTTAGACAGCTAAGTCAAAGGCGGCAAAGTGAAAAATGGAAAGTGGAAAATGGAAAATAGTAAAGCATAAATATGAGACGAAGAAAAAAACATTTTTTAATTAAGCCAATTTAAGGAAATGATGAATATATATATATTTTTTTGAAACTTTTTTGACGAAACCAAAAAACCAAAAAAAAGAGAAACGAAAATAAAATACAAAGAAGAGAGAGAGAAGAGAGAAACACATTAAATAAATGCATATAAAGGCAGAGGCAGAGAACTAAAAAATGATTAAATGCAGGCAAATAAAAGTAAAAAGCAAAGCAACAACAACAACACAGTAGTGAAAGGTCAAGAAACAAGCTCATTAAATTTAAAAACCAAAAGAAAAAGCAAACACGACGACAAAAGCGTAAAAATGTAGTTCTAAGTAAAACTCTAAAGTAAACATTAAACAAAACAAAAAAGAAGCTCGCGCAGAGAAGCAGCTAATTAAACTTAGATGAAAAAATGATAAATGATAGAAAAACTAAAACAAAAATAAAACACAAAAACAAAAAACCAAAATAAAATCGAGTTAAGATGAAGAAATGATCAGCGTTCAGCCGGGCGCAAAGTAAAATGTAAATTTCGCTTGTTGCTATTTTTAAGTTTTAAATCAAAGTCTTTTAAAGAACTTTATTCATTTCTCTTGTAAAACGATAAAGCGTGAAGCTAACTATATCTCCTCTCTTTGTAACTCTCCACAAAAAAACCAAACAACAAAAAAATATAAAAAACAAGAAAAGCAAAAACCCCTTTCGAATCTCTGTGTATTTTTTAAGGTATTATTTTTTGCATCAATGTGACGCTTGAAAGCATTTTTTACATGCATACGGAAAAGAATTGTATTTAAACACTAGTAAAAAGGTAAAGATAAAGATAAAGATGATCAGCAAAACGATGCAAGCAACTTTGCTAAAACTTTCAAATTTATAATGCGTACTTTTTGTGCGCTGAAAACTTTAATGCAAAAAATCATACATTAAAACAAAAGAAAAAAACTTGGAGCTAAGGAGATAAAGTTTAAATGAAAAAAAGGCAAAAAAACATTATTAAATGAAAAAAACAAAAAAAAAAATTAGTTTAAGCAAAACATTTTGCAGCTTTTGTGCTTATTTCGCTTAAGAAAAGTAAGACTAGTTGAAAAAAAAAAGAAAAAAATTAAATCTAATTGTAAGTAAAAGAAAACATGAAAGACGCGAGAAAACTTTGAGGAGTTGCAGGTGAGCGCAGGTGCAGCAAGGAGAAGCAGCAAAGCATTAAACAGAAAATAGCAAAAGATTAAAAAAAACAAAAACAAAAACAAAACATGAAGAACATACAAAGTAAAAATGTCTCTTTAAAAAAACACTAAAGAGCAAATGCTGTCATCCAAAACAAAACAAAAAGAAACTGAACTTTTTCTGAATCAATAAAAAACAAATTGATTTTCTGTAAGAAAACAAATGTGATTGGTGTTTTTACTTTAAAGCGGGTCTATGTGAAGGAATGGAACGGGAATGGATCAATAACAAGTTTGGGGGTTGCTGTCGAGACACCCTTAACAATTGGGCTCTTTAAAGTGTGGGTAAATGGCCACAGGAAACAAGTTCACACAGCTCCAAGCCTTTCAAGCTGGACCCCTCATAATATCTGCCCTGGCCGGAACTTCCCCTAAAATACGCACCATTGAGGGGGCAAAATATGAAAAGCCTACGGCACAGTCATGCATACGCACACACACACATAAACACACACATATATATATGTATGAATGTATGTGTGTGCGTTTGTGTGTGCGCGCAAAGCCGTAAGGATGAACCGAAAAATGTTGACAGCTATTCAGCCTACATGTTTTGCTGCGAACCTGTTCGTTTGACTTGTTTGATGGTTTTATGAGTGTCAAAACTCGACAGCTTAATAGACGTTTTTATGACAGCAATCGCATTTTCATTGTTATCGTAATGAAAGACAGGGGTGACTGTAGCAAGCATGTGAGCCACATGCCACTACACGCACACTGCACAAGGGATGCTGTAAGAGCGGCTACCAAAGCTCCCACAACCTTATAAAGCCAGCACAGGCGGAACGGCCAGAACAGGCAGCCAGCCATCCATGCACACATATGTATATATGTACACATATATGCGCACATACCTAGGCTGTAGGTATGCACGTTTGTATTCTTACTTATGTTGTTGATACAAACGCAAAACTGGCTGCTGTGGGCCGGCATTGGCAACCGGCACAAGCACCAACAGCGACACCGGCATGCGTGTGCCAGTGTGTGCGTGTGTGTGTGAGAGCGCCTCTTGCACTCACTCTCTTGTGACAAAGCAATGTAAACAACAATAACTACAGCGCGCACACACACAGTGGCATGCCGTGTATGCCTTGTTGTTTACTCGCTTACCGTTATTTCGTTTTGTCTCTTGCCTTTGCTGTGCCGCTGCTGGGCGTCTATGTTCGCCTGGTCATTTGTTGTTTTTTGTAGTAGTTGTGTGTGACGACGAGACCGACGGCAGTGTTAGAGAAGGCATTGCCATCCGGCGACGATACTGCGAGCGCAGTGGAACAGAGCACCTACTATGCTGCATAGCTGTGGATCAATTTATTTTAATTTTCTGGTATGCTTTGGTTAAAAATATATTTAACAATTTGTTTATAACCTATTCAAAAGTTCTTATTTAATTTAAATATTTTAAAAAAGGCGCGTAACGTCCATAAAAGTCTGGCAGCTTTACTCGACTACACGACACATAGATGGCGCCATAGTTAAACAAAAGAATCATCGGAATAACAAATTTGCTGTACTTACTAAATATACACAATATTTTGAATTTCTATTTAGTTTTTATTTATTTCATTTCGTACAGACTCTTATGCATGCAATTTTAATTGTTCGTAAGCTATTTTTAAACAATAAAAACCTAGCTTAAGATCTTGCGAGCGCCGAGCTCATATTTAATCGTACAAAAAATGAAGACCGCTAAATGTGTTAACTGTTTTACATAGATTTCATTCACTGTTTACCGCTATTGCCACATATAATAATTGTAATTGAATTTGGTTAAACAAGAAGATGTTGCCATGAAAACGATGATAATTGTCGCGCTTGCAAACCGTTAACAAATTAATGCTAAGAACCGAACTATTTTAAAACAAAATCATACAAAAATCTTTACACATATGATGACCTCTCCGTCTGTCTCACTTGCCACCAAAGCCGCCCATCAGGTTCCCCAGTCCACCTAGGCCACCCGCCGCTCCCTGTTGCAGCTGTCGCATCATATTTTGCAGGCCGCCAACGCCACCCATTTGCTGCAGCATGCGGGGATCAATCATCTTGGCCATCTGCTGATTAAGCTTGGCCATTTGCGTGGGATTAACATTTTTAGTCATGTCGCCTTGCTTAAAGAGGCCTTTGACACCACCCATTTTCTTAACGACTGCCGCAAATTTCGTGTAGTGTGCTATCAGCTCCTTGACCTCTCGCTCAATGACACCTGCACCATGTGCCACTCGGATACAACGTGTGGGCTGTTTGCTGAATAGTTTCGCCCCATCTCGGTTGTCCAGTTCACTGTCTGACATACTGTCCATCATTGTCATCATGCGCTTGATGCGCGCCATCGACTCCTGCTCACCGCCCTTGGTCATGAAGTCTTGCGAGAACCCGGGTATCATGTTCATAATCTGGGAGAAAGGCCCCATTTTTATAACATTCTGGAACTGTTCGTACATGTCGCGTATGGTGAAATGACCGTGCTTGATTTTCTCTAGCAGCTCCTCATTGCCGTCCAGTTTCAGTTCATTCACCTGTAGAACACATTAAATACTTTGTTTCTTATTAGAGAGAATGTTGTTTAGTAGTTACCTTGTCTATCAGTCCCTCAATATCACCCATGCCCAGCAGCTTGCTCACAAAAGGTTTCGTTTTGAAGGGTTCCAAGTCGTCAATGTGCTCGCCAGTGCCAATAAAGATAATGGGTGACTGAGTGGCGGCCACAGCTGAGAGAGCACCACCACCCTTAGCATGACCATCTAATTTTGTGATAATCACGGATCCGATATCTACTTTCTCTTTGAAGGCCTTCGCTTGAGCCTCGCAAGCCTGTCCAATCGTGGCATCCATCACGAAGATGATATTGTCTGGGCTAACTGCATTTGCAACCGCCAACATTTCCTCGAACAGAGACTCTTCTTGCTTATGTCTGCCCGATGTATCGACAATAATCATTTCGAATCCTTCGCGCTTGAACATGTCCACACCTTCTTGTGCTATGACCACAGGATCGATTTCTGTGTAGCTGCCATAGAATGGAATCCGCGCCTTAGTCGCGTTCTGCTTGATCTGATCGTAGGCACCCGCACGGAATGTGTCCGCGCACACAAGACACGACTTCCAATTACGTTTCTGGTAGTGATAGGCTAGCTTAGTACATGTGGTTGTCTTGCCGGAGCCCTGCAGGCCCACGAACATAATCACATTGGCCTTGCCTTTTACTGGCTGATATGGCTTGACACCAGGATCCACCAGTTTGATGAGCTCCTTGAACACGGCGGACTGTATCATGCGGCGTTTATTCAATCCCCCGGCCATCTCATCAAAGTCAATGACAGCTCGTACATTCTCGCGCAGCTGCTTTACCTGTCGTATGTTTACATCAGCCTCTAGCAGTGCAGCGCATATCTCTTTCAGCATCGCACTTAGGGCTTCCTCATTGATGACGGTGGCTTTGCTGAGCGAATGCAGCGCCGTCGTAATCTTTCGTCCTAAATCTGCTAAAACCATCGTGGCGTATTATGTGATACGTTAACTGTATTGCAGCGGCGTGCGTTTTAATTTAGTTGCCTTATGTGCAAAACAAAACATGCGAATTGAAAACGAGTTAACTTTTGATTTTCTCTGACACGTCAAATGTGGAACACAAAGAAGAAGTTGAGACTGACAGTCAAATGGACATGTGCAAATGTCAAAACAATACGAGTGTGAGTAAGTGTGACTGTCAAATATTTGCCATTCAGCTGCTCGCGCACAGTCATGCTGTTCTCTTCTTTTAAAATTATCGCGCTCAATTTGTATTTAATAAATTAATGGGCGTTAAAGAATTATGGAGCATTTTAACACCATATGCAGATCGCAAACCAATATGCGAACTACGCGGCAAGAAGGTGGCTATAGATCTGGCTGGATGGGTTTGCGAAAGTCTTAATGTTGTCGACTATTTTGTGCATCCACGGCATCATTTGAAGTAAGTTCTAGAAAATGATTAATTAATATATCCATTTACTAAACGCGTATCACAGGAATCTCTTCTTTCGAACGTGTTACCTCATCTGGGAACAGGTGACGCCAGTGTTTGTATTGGAAGGAGTCGCTCCCAAACTTAAAAGTCAGGTAATAGCTAAACGCAATGAGATGCAATTTCGTGGTGTGCGGCCCAAGGATAAGGATAAGGATGCCGCGGCGCCCACACAAGCAGTAGCCAAAAGCGACAAAGGACGCACACGTTTCAATCATGTACTCAAGCAATGCGAAAATCTATTGCTGTCCATGGGCATACAATGCGTTCAAGGACCAGGAGAAGCTGAAGCATATTGTGCTTTTCTTAACAAGCACGGTGTGAGTCCACTTGTTTACTTTGCGTGTTTAAATTAATAATCCTCTTCCATCCTAGTTAGTTGATGGTGTCATTAGCCAGGACTCCGACTGCTTCGCGTATGGTGCGGTGCGTGTCTATCGAAACTTTTCAGTGTCCACGCAAGGTGCTCAGGCAGCAGCTGGTGGTGCAGTAGATATTTATGATATGCAAGAAATTTGCAATCGCATTGATTTCGGGCAAAATAAAGTAATTGTTATGGCTTTGCTATGCGGTTGCGATTATTGTCCCGATGGCATAGGGGGCATAGGAAAAGATGGCGTACTAAAGCTGTTTAACTATTACAAGGAGTCGGATATATTGGATAGGTAAATAATTTCCCAGTTTACATATGATTTCTATAAGAAGTTTCTTATTCAGATTACGCAACTGGCGTTTCGAGACGGATAAATACAACGCACTGGAATTGCGTGTGGACGACAAATCCATTTGTAGTAACTGTGGACATATTGGGCGTACACAAAGCCATACAAAAAGTGGCTGTGGCGTTTGTCGCACGCATCGCGGCTGTGATGAAAGCTTATGGAAGTGAGTAAGCTGCTCAGTCGAGTGCCATAAACTTAATTTCCTATTCTCCTCAGAGAACAGCGACTCTCTATCAAGGCGGAGCTGACATTGCGTAAAAAGGCTTTACTAGATGTAGCCTTTCCGAATGAAGAGATCATATCAGAGTTTCTGTCTCAGCCTGAAAAACTTCCCAATTTGAAGCTTGACTGGCGACAGCCTAATATTGTCAAATTCATCAAACAAATTGGTCACCTTCTGCAATGGCCAGAAATCTATTGCTTTCAAAAGTTTTTCCCTTTGCTGACCCGCTGGCAGGTGCAGCAGCCAAACGAAGCCCTGAACCTGGTCAAGCCACAAGAGATTATCAAGAAGCGCACCGTGAAGGGAATTGCCAGCCTGGAATTACGTTGGGAAGACACTCGCGGCTGCTTCAAGGGACTTATACCACATGATCAAATTGAAGAATTCAAACTGGATCATCCAAAGGGTGTTGAGGAACTCTATTACACAATTGAGCCATTGGACATGTTGCAGGCTGCCTATCCAGATTTGGTATCTGCCTTTCTGAAATCCAAGGAGAAACCACCTAAAAAGGCAGCTACACGCAAAAAGAAAACTAACTCAGATGCGCCGCTCAGTGCCGTTGAAAATCTCTCGGACTTGGCAGCAGTAACTGCAGAAATTATCACGAAACCCAAGCGTGTTAAAAAGAAGATGCCAAGTAATATACCAACATATGGACAAAAAACAATGCAGCAATTCCTTAAACAGAAAGAGAATACACCAATTAAGCCCTCTCGTCAGTTGGCAAACCAATGTTCCACACCTCTTAACAAGCATTTGCCTTCTGATTTGGAGAGTGATGGCGAATTCGATATGTCCGACATTATCAAAGGCATCGTTTCTAATCCACAAGCAGCGCCTGCGGTGACGAAGCACGAGGGATATCAGCTCCACTATGAACCGTTGGCGGAGGATTTAAGCCTTCGCTTAGCGCAGCTGAGCTTGCACAAGGATGATGAGTCACACCAGCAAGGCTTACTGATGGATGATGTAGATTTGCTGGTTCAAAAGCGCCGTGACATCTCTATGAAGACTGAGAGTATGCCATTGGCTAAACGCTACTCTTTAGACGACAGTTTTGATCTGTTGGTCAAAGGGGATCTACAAAAAGTGCCACATCTGGTCCGAACTCCCGTGGATCGTTTTAAACAGCAGCATCGGCTGTCCACTACCAGCGAACCGAAAAGTACGCAACAACTGCCATCTATCAAGTCAACAGCAAATGTCAGTTATTTCTTTAATCAAAGTGTTGAAGGTACCGATGCGTTTGAGCAATTGATGGAGTCCAGTTTGATACACTCGGATCAAGATTTGGTGGTAATCAGTGACAGCGAATAGATTTTTTTATGTACATCAATAGTCTGCAATATATTCTCGCTAACAATAGCAAACTTAAAGCTGGCCTTTGTTCTGTGACAAATTAGAACTCCAAATAACGTTTGGCATAAAGTTGAGCATTGCTCATCGCCTGCTCCAATTGTTCTTCGAACTGTGTATTAACTTTGCGGCCTTTCATGTTACAAACGATTTCGGCATTTTGACCCTTAGGTGCAGACACTTGGCCATTAAATGTTTCTGCAAAGGATTGCAGCCAAAGCGACGCATTAAATTGCTTGCTAATGCAGTTCTGCAAAGATGGATATTAGACAATAAAGCTGTATTCAAATGAGATTACTGGATATACCTGCGGCACACAACAGCGCGCTTTGACTATGTTATCACACATGCTAACAACCAGAATGGGACGATCTGTGCATAATTTTGTGGCACGTTGCAAGGGAATCTCCTCAACCAGCGCCGAGCTGCTTATAAAGTGAAGGATGTAGGGATGCGTGTCAAGCGGCTTTTCGAGTAGTAGATTTCGCATTTCCACTTCCACAAACTCTCTGTAACAACAATAATTAGTTTCCGTCTAAGATAGTCTTTCGATACACCTACTTAAGGGTTGTGCGCGATGTTTCCTTAAGTCTACGTAGCATTTCATTGATGCGATCGAACGTGTCCATCTTGAAAGCGTAGGGCAGCTTTATGTCCGAGTGCAGCATGTTGTGGCGTATGGTCTGCAGCTCAGTTTCCGTGGCATTTGTCAGCTTGTCCGTTTGAAACTGATTTTCCAGCACATCCACACGATGACGGAGCAGTGCTGCTGTTTTTAGAACCTATCCGAGAAGAGGAAATATTAATTGGAGTAGTTGAATAGAATGCTTGGACAAACTTACATTCTCTGCAGCTTGGCCAGCTACAGCTGAGAAGGCATAGCGGGCTCTATTGGTTTGCTTGAGATTAACAATGCAAAAGCAAGACAACTCCTTCGTGTTGGTTACATGCGTGCCACAGCAGAGTTCCTTTGAGCTCAGATTTAGCTCTGGGCATTGCACATGAATAAGACGTAGTCCCTGCTCGGGATAAACTTCACCTGGCACCATAGTTATGTCGTTTTGCTGCAGCACTTCGGCTGCGCTAAGCTGATGCACTTGGACGGGCGTGGCGGAACAGATCGTGCGGCTTATCACGGGAAGTTAGGTTAATAGGTGTATGAAATAATATTGAAGCGAATCTCACTTGATCAGATCCTCAATGTGCTGCACATCAGCTCTGCTTATGCGCTTTCCCAAGAGTCCCAGCTCCAGTTTACACTGCTCACTACTAACCGCGCTGGAAACCTGATATGTCACCTTGTTGAAGAGAGATCGTATGGCGGCATTCAGCAGATGGGTAGCTATAAAAGGGTGTGTTAACTTCAACAACTCAGTTCCATGTTTATTTTTAGTACCAACCTGTGTGATGGCACGTATTCAACTGGCGTTGCTTGGCATCTACTTCAAGCTGCACCTCATCCCCAACAGCCAGCTGAAAGTCATCGATAGCTGTAGTCAAGCGGCAAATATGTACGACGCAGTCGTTGAGATGCTTTACGCCAACCACATCCAACTTATGAGGTTCCTCTGGCTTTAGATTATTCCGCACTAACAGTTTACCAAGATCCGATTGTTGGCCACCAGATTCGAAATAGAAATTACTAGCAGATGTTACAATTGAGAGCGAATCGAATGACTCCTCTGGGCGAATGCGTGACACCTCTGTCTCATCCTGTAGCATGCCCAGCACGTAACTTTTGAGCATGGGAATCGCATAGCATTCATTTTTTTCATCATAGCTGTATATATACTTGTAACTGTTATCAGTGGATGCCAGTCGCTTAGTGAGTTGAACTTGTGCGTCTGCGATGCGCTCCTGACGGGCCAGATCGAAGTCGCCTCTGCTATTCTGTGGTTCTTTGGTTTTAAGCTTTGCCAGAGCTAATTCAGCACGATAACGCTCCAAATCACAGTTCATATTCTCTAGCTCGGCTAGCTTCAGAAAGCTCTCCTCGGTCAGGCCATAGGTGTCTGTTAGCTTGTATAGGAATTCACCTGGTATCGTGTTGTTAGGAAAATTTGAGCGTTGCACTTGAAATTCTCGATAGGCGGGAACGAAACCAGGACATTCCATCAGATCAATGTCATCCAGATTGGGAAACTCAGTTAGCACCTCAGCAAAAGCCTTAGAAGAGCTCTCACGCAGATTTTTGTAGACCTCTTGTTCATGGGCAATTAGTTCGATAACAGCCTGCTGTTTGCTCGACATTTCCGGATAAGCTTCTCCCAGAGTCTCAACCACAATGGGCACCAACTGTGACAGAAGTTTGTCATGTGCAAACACCTGTTCCGAGATGCTGAGCGCTTTTCGTAGGACGCGACGTAATTTCTGACTACGTATAGAAAATGTATAGTTATGAAACAAATAACGGAGTGGTATCTACAACTAACTTCTGATCCGGTAGCATGCCATCAGCTAAGCAAGCTGTAATCATTCGTGCGTGATCGGCCAGAATTCTGTAGCTCGTGTCAAGCAGAGCCGCGTTCTGATCATTTGGAAAACTGCCGCCATATAAAGGTGCTTTAGAAAGCTAATTAAGAAACAATGTGTTAATTTGAGTTTACTTAAGTACTTCAATATAAACTTACGCTATGTATGCCATCAAACAGCGGCGTGAAGAGATCCGTGTCGTAATTGGAGGATTTGTTTTGAAGCAACGCAGCTAAACGCTCAAAGCCCATGCCTGTGTCCACGTGCTGAGCGGGCAGCTGTGTTATACTTCCATCTGCATTGCTACACATATCAGGTATTCGATTAAATATTAAATTTCTCATTGCACTAGATTTGCCACTAACCGGTTGTACTGTATAAACACCAAATTCCATAGCTCTGTGAGGTCTGCACGGCCCGCATTCACTAGCTTTGCGCGTTGCTCCACACTTGCAGGACCCGAACCAGGTCTGTGGTCTATATGTATTTCAGTGCAGGGTCCACAAGGACCAGTTGTGCCCATTTCCCAAAAGTTATCTTTGCAACCGAAAGGCAAGATACGTGCAGCCGGAAATCTATTAGGTAAAAGTGATCAAATTTCTTTATGCATTATGTAATCAATTATTACATACCCCAAACTCCTCCAAATTTCAAAGCACTCCAAGTCGGCTGGTATTCCAAGCACCTTATCGCCGGCAAAGTAGGTAACATACAAACGCGAAGGATCAATGTTATAGGGGCCGCGCAGCAACTCCAATGCCATTGCACAAGCTTCACGCTGCAAGAAATTTGTAACTTTTAAATTTATAACGCTAGCTTATAGATGTAATGGTATTCACCTTAAAGTAATCACCGAATGACCAGTTGCCTAGCATCTCGAAGAACGTGTGATGGTATCCATCCTGACCCACAACCGATAAGTCATTGTGCTTGCCACCGACTCGTACACACTTTTGAGAATTTACGACGCGTTTGTACGATGCTTCAGCTGTGCCCAGAAAAATGGATTTGAACTAAGCGAAAGAGTCTGATTAATGCACAATGGATTAATAAAATTATTAATGTTTGATATTTACCTGGTTCATGCCTGCATTGACAAATGCGACGGTGGGATCGCAGAACGGCACAACCGGACTAGAGCGCACAAATTTGTGTTCATGATTGACGGTAAAGTAATCGATGAATGTTTTCCGTATTTCGCGTGCGGTGAGCACACGCTGTAGCTTTTTGGCCGAGTTGTACATGCCAAATTAATTGCAGTCTTAATTACATGCGAGAGCAATGTGGACCCAGCAGCTGAGCCGGTAATTAAACAACCGAATCAGATCAGACTCGTCTACAGCTGATCAGAATTAGTGTTCGCATGTGAACGTGTTACCATTCGCATGTGAATGCATGGAACTGTTCTATTTTTTGGCTGAAGCAACAGCTGCATATTTTGATTAAAGTATGCAACGAACAAGAATAAAGGGACAACAAAAATAAACGCGTGCTATGTGAAAAAATAATGAAAAATTCATTAAAGTTTTTATATTTCTGACTGTTTGGTGCAACCAAATTATAGTGTATTAAGTATAATGCAATTTGAACTTTGACACTTTCGATTTGAATCCGCTTTCACTTTTTGCCTAACTTTTTTCCATAACCAAAAACGGCAACAATAAGACGACGTAGTATAAAATACATTGCCAAAGTGCAAATATCATCTGACCCAACGAAGTAAACAAAATCTCCGTGTCAAAATGGCAACAAAGCGGCGTCCACTACGTCCAAATGTTGGCACTGGTCAACCGAGCGGTTCCAATATGAACTTTCGACCTGGTGGTCCCGATATAACACGAGCTGAGGCGCGGGGCACACGTCCAACTGCGGCGCCCACCAGCATACGAGAGATTCTAGTCATGGGAGTCATACATCTGTGCAAAAAGACAATATTTTTCAATACCGACCTCAAAGTAGCTTTATATTTGGGAAGTTTATTTATTATCTCGCTCATAGGCGATTTCTTGCCATTTCCCAAGACATATTTTGCCCGCTCCGACAATTTGTTCAACTTGTACTTTGTCAAAGTGGGCTGGGGCTGGACCCTTCTATTCGCAGTGCCCTTTGCGGTGCTCTCCGCCTACATAATTACTTGCGGCGACATGAAGCGCATGTTGAGGCATCACTTTCCACGCATTGTGATAGCAACGTTCTTCTGGTTCTTCTGGACAAAGCTCTTCAATATAGTAGAAACCTCATATGGTCGCTGCACCACCAAGGGTAAGAATAATGCATACAGAATATTTAAATTATTATTGCTTTATTGCTTTATTGCTTGTAGGCTTCCCGAGCAAATCCAGTTGCCTGAAAGCCGGACATTTATGGCAGGGCTTTGACATCTCTGGTCATGCGTTTATTTTAATACACTCAAGTCTGGTGCTGATCGAGGAGGCGCGTCCCATCATCAAGTGGGAGACCATTAAAGAGCATCTACGCAATGAGTTGCACAATCGAAGCGTATCGGAGAAATCAAGCAGCAATCCGTTGCGCGGTCTGAACGACGAGCAAATACGCAGTCTGCAGTTTCTCTACACGCGACTGACTCCCATCATTCGAACTTTGTTCATTGGCATGGCCGGTCTGCAGCTGCTATGGGACATAATGTTAGTGGGCACAATGCTTTACTATCATCGCATGATCGAGAAAGTCATAAGCGGCATTATTGCCATTTTGACGTGGTACTTTACGTATCGCTTTTGGTATCCAACTAATGGATTATTGCCTGAGGCTCCCGGTAATGGCCTTTTCTACTACCAGCGCGAGAACTTTCCTTTGAGGCGACCAACGCATTTACACACCTGCACGCCAGCTAGCAGCAGTCAGTCGTCTGCCAGTGGCCAGAAAACAAACCCCAATGGTAGTGGCAGACTGGGAACTTCGCCGTCGCAACAGCAGCAGCAGATACCCACTTTCATGGGCATGCCATTATTCACGAATGCTAAGGCAGCCACTGCAGCAGCCAGCATGCTGCAAACAGATCAGTTGAAGCGGGAACAGCAGCAAGCAGGCGTGGAAAGCTAAACCCAGGCTTATATGACCCAGCAACAGAAAACAGGAATTGAATTATATTGGGTAGGGAAATCATTTTAACCGGTAGTGGCTAGCGAAATCTTTTGTACCAAATAGAACTTAAAACCAAATGATTTTTATAAACACGAATGTACAATGGTATCAGTAATTTTGAGGCTCGCACTTTACCGCGGTGCGCTGTTCATAGTTCATAGGGGTCTCGACGATCCGCTCTCTCACTCATTCTCTCTCGCTCACTGTTTCTGCCTTCCGCATCTTGCTTGCATTGTTACCAGGTAGACTTAAGCGTTCTTTTGTTTGTGTTTATATGTGCCCAACTTTAACAATAACAATAAAACGATTGTTAACAAACATCTTGCCGCCTACTTATGCGCAAAGGCAGCGAACATGGCCATACCCAAGAAACCGGCGGTAGCTCCCAGCTTGTAATTGGCAGGCGTCATACTCCACATCTCCTTCAGTATTTCAAAATTGCTGCTGGGCATCAGTTTGTGGTACGAGGGCCGCTGCTTGAACCTCAAAAAGAAGCCCTCCACCTGCGGAAGCTTGCCGTAGCCCCAATAATAGTTCTCGAAGCCCAGCTGATTAAGCCGCTGCAGCAGCAGACCTAAACTGACGTCAGCTAGTGTGAGCTCATCACCCGTGAGCCACTCCTTGCGTGGCGTTTGTTTTGATAGCTCCTGCTCAACAAAGAGCAACACATTGCGAACGGCATCGAGCACGCGCTGAAATTCTGTTCGTGAGGCAACAAGATTTCTGCGACGCACTTGAATATCTAGCTTCTGCTTCAATGCACTTGAGCAGCCATTCGAGTCCACCTCGTCCATGGATCGACGAAGTAAGTCCATTACCTTATCATTGTTCTCTGCGGGATAATAAGACACCATGCGAATTATTAAATAGAAACAGCTCTTTTGCACATTTATACTGCTCACTCAGGCAAGATTGCCGCACGGGACCAATGAAAGGAGCCTTGGGCGACAACTTAAGATCGTCGTGGATAAAGGAGCCCAGACTGAGTGCGCCAATAGGCAGGCGTGTGAAGGCACGTTCAAATGTGATCATTCTATCATAATCCAGTGAATCTGGTCTATACGGCTTTAGCGTCGGATGACGGTCTGTAAAGGAGAGTATTGTGAGTTTAGAAATATTAAATTTAGCCGAGAGTGAATCAGTTACCTCCTCTAAACTTCGTCTCCACATAATTGATAATCTGCGGCGAGTTGGGTATGATGAAGGCACCATCCTGCAGCACAGGCACATCGCCTTTCGGATTCAGATTTAGGAACCAACTGGAATACTGTTCGCCATTGCACAGATCGACTACGTAGGGTGTGAAGTCAATGTTTTTCTCATAAAGCACCAGCAAAACCTATAAATAAAATGAGAAATATTTTAAGTTTAGCTAACCGCAAGTCTACGAATAATATACATCGAATATATATGTGTTTTATACTAATCACAATAAGCTGTCTAATTATTTGTTGTACTATTTGAACTTTTCTCCAGTTGTGTTTATTTAAAGCTCGACGTTGTTTCATATGCTTCATTAGCACCTGCATCAAGGTAAACAGTTAAATAATATTATTTATTGAACGAAAATCCGTATTCAATTAAAAACGATTTGTGCTGAGAGTCTGAAATGTATTATATTATATATTATTCTTACGCCCCCGTCAAGCACGATTGCACTTTAAACAGACTAGGGGGGTGAGTGGGAAACTTTATGAAAAACGTCTGCCTAGCCACAGCTATCTATATAGCATTGAGCAATAATGACAATTACTACGATTAATTTTCTAATTTCGCGCCATTTGATGGACACAATTTGAAGCGCACAAATTGCGTGCTCTGTAACGTATTCAGTTAATTTTTCTCTCTCAAAAATCACATGATTTACATTGTCAACTAACTTTTTGCGAGTAGAAGTTGTATGGATGAAAGTAAAGCACGAGCTTGTTATCGTTAAATACAGGTGGCTTGAAATCCTGTGGTGCGGGCTCAGCAGGTGCTATTTCGTTTGCCTGGTTGTTCATCTTGTGTTAATCTTGTGAATTCAAATTATTTGGTTATATCACATGCTATGCGAAAACGAAAACCGTTAGCCGCGTGCCGTAGACCCCGTTTCAGAGCTCTGAGAAAAAGCGGCTTGCACAGTAGGAACAACACGGAGCGACTAACTGCCAAAAGTACGCTTTTCGACTGGGGCTGTGTATGGAGTAAAGTAATGAAACAACAACTAAAGCCGGAGCAGCTTCGCGGCCAGCGATTAATTTGCACTTTCCGCTGAGAGTAAACATTTATATTTGTTGTTGCGTTTATTTCTGAATATGATTTGAGATGCTGAGGTGGCGATTATTCGTCAACGATTCTTATTCACTTTCAGTGTGACGGTTGGTACTTGTTTTTCTGCCTCTTCATATTTATCTTTATTTATCGTGTTACGAAATTGCGATCATATATAATGCGTACGGCTAGTGTTTGTTTAAGTTGTCAAGATTTTCATTTCAACATCTCTTATCTAATAATTGAGGTCTGCGAACCAAACGGTGGCAAACATGTTATGTTGTATATATTACGATATTTATTAATATATTTGCAAAAAAAAAAAACAAACATACTAACAATTTGTGTGAATAGAAAATACTGTATTAAGAAACTTACAATTCTTAGTGAAGTAAAAAAATAGGAAACATAATCACGGCTGTAATTCAAAAAGCGCGCTCAGTAAAAGCTTTTGATTTCGTGGTGAATGACAACAGCGGCAATAAACAAAACAAGTTCCAATTGGAACTGCTTATTTTGATCGTATAGGACTCGCTGAAAATAACTAAAGTTCGGAAAATCAATTTCGTACTCATTGTCAACTCACATCACGTTAAGAAATTTTCGAAAATATGCTGCATCTTGGCAAGCAATTGGCTCACAAGGCGCCAAAGCTCAATTTGACCGCTGCCGCCGTTTTGTCTGGAGGCAAAGTCCAAAATAGCACGCAAAACGCAACATCGATTAGAAATTTTAATCAACATAATATCAATAGTAACAAAGTTGTTAGCCACAATCTTTGCCACAAACGGTTATCCAGCGGCAGTGCCAGTCAAAGTACAAACGTCAACAGAATGAAGCGGTTAGCAGGTAAAGTTGCAGTAGTTACCGCCTCCACAGATGGGTAAGTATCTATGATTATATCCTATAGTGTATTAATTACATATGTGTACATTTATAATTTGCCAGCATTGGTTTTGCAATTGCCAAACGTTTGGCTGAAGACGGCGCTGCGGTTGTCATCAGCAGCCGCAAGCAAAAGAATGTGGACAATGCGCTTGCAGAGCTGCGCAAACTGAATCTTAATGTGCATGGACTCAAATGCCACGTGAGCGAAGCGCAAGATCGCAAGCAGCTTTTCGAGGAAACCATCAGCAAATATGGTAAGCTTAACATATTGGTTAGCAATGCTGCTACCAATCCGGCCGTGGGTGGCGTGCTGGAATGCGATGAGAAAGTGTGGGACAAGATCTTTGACGTGAATGTAAAGAGCTCTTATCTACTGGCAAAAGAGGCGCTGCCTTATCTGCGACAGGAAAAGGGCTCCAGCATCGTGTTTGTTTCGTCCATTGCTGGTTACGATGCATTTGAGGTTAGTGCTTTGTCCGTATAGTGTGACTTTATCTAAAAATGCGATTTATGTATAGCTGTTGGGAGCATACTCTGTAAGCAAGACGGCGTTGATTGGTTTGACCAAGGCAGCGGCCAAGGATCTGGCGCCTGAGGGCATTCGTGTAAATTGCTTGGCACCTGGTATCATCCGCACAAAGTTCTCGAAAGCGCTGTACGAGAACGAAGCAGCGAATGAAGCTGCGCTTAGCAAAATTCCCATGGGACGCCTGGGCACCAGTGAGGAAATGGCTGGCGTTGTGTCTTTCCTTGTCTCTGAGGATGCCGGCTACATAACAGGCGAATCTGTCGTTGCCTCTGGTGGTATGAATGCTCGTCTTTAATGTGATGCATGTGTATATACTTATATTTTTATGTCTTATGGCCTATGAATAACAAATGTGTGTACAAAAAGCTTCCAATATAGTTGTGGGAGGGATTAAGCACAGAAAAATTTAACATATAGTTTGGAATATCTAGGAAGACCTCAGCTTAGCCAACTGATCCGCTATATCTTTTTCGGTGCGTTTGCCACTAGTCTCGAACTCGCCAGACCCTGTGGCTGGTATGCTGGCCATTTTTCCAGAGATTTCTATGCCAATTTCGTCAAGCACCTTGTTGACCACATCATTGGATTCCTCCTCATCACCAGACTCGTTCAACATGTCGTCTAGCGTATCGTTGATCATTTCATCTGTCATCTCCATGCGCATATTCGCTTGCTGGAAGTCACGCACTGTGCCTGCAATTGCCTCTGGGCGCATTACCTTGTTCATTGTAGCCATCGTCTGCGCTGTGGTGCCCATTGCCTCGCCTAATGCTATATTTGCGCCCATGTTCTTATTCTGGTAGCCTATGGACTGAATTTTGCCGGCAGCGGCATAACTGCGTGATTTTTGTTTGCGAATCTCTATCAGTTGTTTGGCTAGAATACGGCACGCATCATTGTTTCCAGCGGCTGCATTGCGCTTGATCTCAGCTTCTAGTTTCTTCTCCTCCTCTTCCAGTTTTCGACGCTCTCGCTCAATGTCGCGTGTTGCTTTACGCAGGCTGCGATCATTTTCACGTTGCTGCTCCTTTACGGTTGGTTTTTTGCCAAATATATTGTTGAACATTTTATTTTTCTAAATTTTATGGCCAAAAAGGTAGAGATTTTCAAAAAGATGAATCACTACTGAAACTGGCGATTGGTGAGTGTAAATATCAAAATAGAGACAGCTGTTTCTTTGTCAGCTGTCAGTTTAGCGGTGTGAATGACTGCAATGTTTGTGAATGGCAATTCATTTGGATATCTGGAAATTGCGTTTTGCATTTGCCGGCGTCTTTATTTTTGTTACATCTTAAGCATGACATTAGAAATACTGAAGCAAGGCGCTGAAGGTCGTCTGTACATTGGCGAGTTCAAAGGTGAATCGTGTCTGATAAAGGAGCGTTTTGTTAAAAAATATCGTCATCCAGACTTGGACACACAAATAACGCGGCAACGCATGAAGGCCGAAGTGAAGGCAGCTGGCCGTTGCCTGGCTGCTGGCATCCTTGCACCGCGCATTCTTCACTCCGACTTAAACACGCACAAACTATATATGGAGTACTTTGGCAAAGCGCAGACAGCAAAACATTTCATACAGAAAACAGTCGCCGAGTCGGATGCAGATGAGGCGAAGCAGTTGTTGGAAGTGCTGTGCACACGGATCGGAAGCATCATTGGCAAAATGCATGCCAACAATATAATACATGGAGACCTGACAACATCAAATATTTTAATCAATCCAAATTTGACTGACTATGATGTTATATTCATCGATTTTGGATTAAGTCACTATAATCAGGCAACAGAAGATAAGGGTGTGGATCTATATGTATTGGAACGAGCTCTCTTGAGCACACACAGTGAGCAACCTTATCTATTTGAGCATATCCTGGCAGCATATCGACAGGAGTGCGGCAAGGAAGAGGAAGCCGTATTGGCAAAGTTTGAGGAAGTGCGTGCCCGGGGACGCAAACGCACAATGATTGGTTAACATCATCTATATTTAACGAATACTTAATTAAAAAATTATTAAACTTACATTTAATGATTATTCTAATCTTTTGATTGGGTCTGATAGCCGCGGACCATCCTGCAACTCATCAATTTTGATTTTCTTAATATATTTGCGTAACTTGGTTTTTCGCTTTACTTGCTCATGCTTCGCTGGCTCTAAGCCAGTGATTGGAGTTTCATTGTACTGTGCGTACGCACGTGGTTTCAGCTTGGCAATAGCATCTTCCAGCTTCAAGCCGGTCAGGCCATGCTCCTCGTAAAACAAACGATACTTATCACAGAACTTTGAGTGCCCCTTCTTAAAGCCTTCAGTTTTTGTTGAGGGGTGCTGTAAATAGAAGCCAGTTATTACGTGTGTATTCATTCGTTGGACATCTGTTTATAAATTACCCTAGCATCTATGGCTCTGGCACAACCTCTGTGAAAGTTATGTAAATGCCGCAGAAAGGATTCGTTTGGCTGTATGGCCTCCTCTAGACATAGCTGCATGATTTCGTTGATGTAAGCAAAGGATTTCTGTGCACAGCCTTGTCGTAGCATAGCCCCCAGTATAGGCATATTCATACGTATACCTGCTGCTTGCATCTGCTGTAGGAGCTCACGCGCCTGCTCCTGGGTGCGACAACCCAGTGCTAGAACGCCATAGGTCACGATGTCCGGCTGCAAGCCAGCCGTGCGTATCATAGTCAACACTTCGCGGGCGCTCTCGTAATCGAAACGCAATGATCGCTTTTTGATGAGTATGTTAAAGAAGTCAATGTCTGCCTTGAGGCCAATCTTGCGCACAAAGCTTAGCACTTGTTTCTCTGCTGCATTGGTAGGAGGAACAACATCCAACATGGTAGTAAAGAATTCAATGTTTGGCGTTATTTGGTGAGCCTTCATCAGTTCTAGATAGCCAGTAATACCGCCCAATAGTAGAAAACGCTCATGAGGACGCGTCACTTCAGCCAAGGCAACTAAACTGCCTAACTGTGGGCGTGGAAGCAGCAGATTAGGCAGCTCTAGTTGTTCCGTGGGTTGTGTAGACAATTCTAACTGATTAACTTCCGCAGACGTAGGTGGAATAGCTAAGCTGTCCACTGCCGTTGATTCCAACTCCTCTTGCTTTCCTGATGGCAGTTGTCTGCTTGCTACAGCTGGGGCAATTTGCTCGAGTACCTGTTGCATGGACTCAAGATCGCCAAAACCACAATCCCGGACACACCGCAGCATAGTATGGAAGCTGTAGTAATCTGGACTTATACCACGCTGCAGCATCTTATGCCAAGTGAGCAAAGCATGACGGAAGCCATTTTTCTCATCGCTAGCACAGGCTTGCAGTAGAAAATTAAAACTCTCCGCGTTTAACGGTAGCTGACGCTCGACCATCTCGTCGGCCAACATATAAGCAGTGTCTATGTCGCCACAGCGGCCGTAAGCCTTGATCATCGCATTGTAGTTCTTCAAATTAGGTTCGTAGCCCTTCTCCAACATATTCTCGCGCAACTGTCTCGCCTTGCCCAAGCCATCAATCTGAGTGGGAGCATTGGCGCATGCATTGAAGAGGGAAGTGTAGGTTCCGCCGGTGACCTTAAGACCGCGTTGACGCATTTTGGTGTACAGATTGAATGCTTTTCGTGTGTAGCCCGCCTTGGCGCAGCCGCTGATTAGCAAATTGTAAATGTAATTCTCTGGCTTCACACGATCCTCTCGCAACATGCGCACCTCCATCACAGCAATGGCATCATTGATACGATGCGCTATTAGGTGCTCCTTTATTAGGCGTGCATATTCTTTGGTGCGAAGCTTTCGTGAGTGGCGTGTGGGTTTGCTAATAAATTCTTCCTCTTGTGTGTCGCCGGGATCTTCTGGTTGGGTAGTGCTGAACTTAGCATCACCAAATGTATCTGGATCTCCAAAATTAGACACCGTTTCCTTTTGTGGCTTTTCTACTTTTTCTTGCTTTACAGTGTCCTTTTTTAAGCGATCGGAGCTTTTAAACTTGTTTCGCGGAGGGCGCTCATGTGTCTGCCTTCTGGGGTCCTCATCTAAAATTTTATCTTGAAAAGGATTTGTCGGTCTGTTGGCCTCCCTTTTTATCTGCAGGCCGGCATCCTGATCCGTAATACGCACGTGTAGCAAAGAGCTTTGTCCCCATTGCAAGACGGGGAGTCTTGACTGTAACTCAAGTATTTTGTTTAGATGTAAGCAGTGTTTCGGTGTACGTTGCTGCATGCGGCATATATGCGTTAAGCTAAAAAAACGCAATGCCATTTTTTGTTTGGTAATTTTCTTTGAATTTTATGTAATTTAATAAATTTTTTAAATGTGCATGCCGGTGAACGTTTTCTGCTAAGTAGACGAACAAGCAATGCCAATCACATTATGTTCGATTGCATGTGAATAACAAACAGCTGTTTTGAATCGATGTGGCAACGTTAACATTCCCTTAGCACTGCTCAATAAAATTTTGGTTTTTTTTCACCTAATTTGCCCGACGTGAATTAAATTATACTGAAGATGAGTTATTCCGTTGATCCACGTAGAAAAGAAAAAATCAATCGCTACAAGGCACCTAAGAACCAAGGACAAAGTGGTGGTGCCAATGAGGACATGATGCCTGACTATATGAATATTCTGGGAATGATTTTCTCTATGTGTGGTCTGATGATGAAGGTAAATTACTCGTCTTAATTTATATTAACATAAATATTTACAATGTGCTTCCTCCACAGCTCAAATGGTGTGCCTGGTTTGCACTGTACTGTTCTTGCATCAGCTTTTCCAGCTCACGCGCCAGTGACGATGCCAAACAGGTGAGTGGAGAGGTTACAAGATTGAGTTTGCTATACTAATGAAAAATTTCTAGGTGCTATCTTCCTTTATGTTGAGTGTAAGTGCTGTGGTCATGTCATATCTGCAAAATCCAGCTGCTATGACGCCACCCTGGGCATCGTAATACAGAGTACACAATTTAGTTGCTGCTAGTTAAATGAATGAAACTTTATTATTCTCCAAAAACTCAAATGACAATTGGGTGTGTAGAAAGTTTTTAATAAATTATCCACGGAAGTTTGTAATAAATTTAGCTAAAGATATTTTTTTCAAATGTAAGTAGTTGGGTCTAGCAGTGAAACTCTACGTGGTGAGTATGTAATAGGCAAACAGAATAAAAGCCAAAATATAAATGGTACCAAAAATCAGTACGTATTAAATTTCTCCAAAGTTCGCATGACCCGTAGCCTTGGCGTGCTGTTGGGCCTGTGCCTGGCCCACAAGCAGTAGATCACATTGTAAGCAACGAAGATTGAACTTATCGACATTTGTAAATTGTCGTGAGGATTTTGCTTCGTTCGCTAGTTGCTCAGCTTGCTGATAAACGCCCAGCTCTTCCACGGGGAAGATGGTAGCTGGGGAGGCGCTTTGTGATATCTCCATGTAAAGTGGATCATAGTGTATGCCATCGAAGAGTAGGAACACTCGCAAGCCAAAGTTCTTATCTTCACCAAAACGGTTAATAATGGCATTTTGTATATCAACGACATCGATTTCTATTCCATAATAATTGGATAGTATCGATACTTCAATGGCACCGCCCCACGAGTCCGCCTTTTGTATCCAGGCACAGTACTCTGCGTTCGATTTTCCTAGGACGGCATCATTGTATTGCTGCGTATCGGCGGCTACCTCCTGCGCGATTATGTGGCGCATCATTTCGCTGCCTTCGTTATCTACTTTGCCATTCAACACGAAGCGTATGCTTGTAAAGAGACATGAGTTATCCGCTGGCACAACCTTCTTCAATAGAATACCATTGAAGTCGCCATTGGGTCCAGCTTCCGCGGGTGCGGCCACTGTTGCGTGCTCGCTCTCGCTGTTGCTGGTCTGAGCGCCAGTGCTTATGGCGTTCAGTTCAGTATTGCTTGTTGTCACCTGACGCAGATGCTCTGCATCTTCCTCAGCTTGGAGACGACGCGCCAGCGCCTCGTCATCCTCCATAGTTACAGAATTGTTGACCACGGAAACCACCTTTTCTTCCACAATCAGCGTCTCGCCACTTTGGATTCCAATGGAGCGTAGATTACGCTGCTGCTCGTCGCTGAGATCCAGCGGCCGTGGTGGAAAGCCCACCAGCACGTGCAACTGTGGTTCTTTTATTTCCGTCGCTTCACATATCCTTGTTTTAAGCTCAGCTATTGTTGTGTTTTCGTTTAGGTCATTAACAATGAATTGACCTTTTTTCGATTTTAGCTTTACACTAAAAGATCCAGTCATTATTCTGATTTAGGGGGTTTGATTGCCGAAAAATTTGATGTTTGGTATTTTATTATTTCTCAATTTTGAGTTTTTGGATTTATGCCCTGATTTGGTTAAGAGTGTTTATTGTCTAATAACTTTTATTTTTATCGTTCTTTTGCTTATTGTTTAACGCGACTAAGAGATGGGTAGCACAAGGTATTTTATGGTTATCGCGAATCTCAGTGATGCCACACTGTCGCCATATCGATGAACTGATAACCGATACGCGTAACCATAAATAAATGTACTAAAAAATACCTTACCGCATTTTAAGAGCGGGAAATATTTGAATTTCAAATTTTCTCACTTACATGTTTGCTAGGAGTAAATATTATTATTTTCAAAAGGCGTTAAAGTCAAAGCCGCCTAGTTGTGAGATAAATATTTCAGAACGAATGGACTGCTAAAACCTTGACTCACGAATGCTTGAACTTAGCAAATACTTTTTTAATGCTTATTCTATGTGAAATTTAGTTTTGACCGTTTAGGTGATGAAATATTAATTTCCAACGAAAACGGCAACATGTATTGCCAAAATGAAGCCAACTATAAAGACACTAATAACTATTTAGTGAGAGCGAGAGTTGGGTTAGCGATTAGCTAATGGTCAAATCAAATAGAACTCAGAACCAAGGAAACATATATTAGCGAAAACCCACAGTTAGATGTTAGTCAACAAAGCAATTTGCCAGCCGACTAGTCCAACAATAGGGCCAATAACAACAAAAGTGGCCTCTACAACAAAAGAAAAAAAAAATAGATCGGTTTGCTTTATATTTTATTTTTCCACGCGTCCAAACGCCTTGCGTGGTACACTAAAATCACATTTAATAGTCTAAACAAAATTTATTGTTGGGCTACGCTGTTCGTAGATACGACAAAGATATTTTAGAGCTTCCATTGTGACGATGTGTTGTTTTAATATCTATGAAAGACGATCGCGCTTGCGCACCACACCGCACCGTACCGCATCGCACAGACCGGCTCGAAACTCTCATATAAATAGGTGGACAACGGTCTCTATGATCAGTGCAAGTCTGTCAACGCGAACCGCGAGATCATCAATCAACACTCGTCACTTTTCAGTCAAGGAGTCCACAACTTAAAACTCTATTACCATGAAATTCTTGCTTTTGGTGCGTGGCCCACTGGCCACTCGGCTGCTATGGATATAACATTCAACTAATTGTGGATTATGCTTGCCTTTTTACAGACCGTATTCGTTTGCCTAGCTGTGTGCTTCATGGCCGTCAGCGCCAAGCCTTTGGAGGAAGCTATACCTGAGGGCATTGAAGGACCTGGCAGTGAGCCCATTAGCCCAACCGACGATCAGTCCTTCCTGCTGAAGCTCAAGCTGCTCAAGAAGCTGCTCTTCCTGGGTTAAACGCCGACATTAAACGGACTACCTTAGCATATTTTGTGTTTAGCTTTTAAGAATGATATTAAAAAATGAATTTTCAAGGAAAAATAGTTTTTAAATGAACAGAACTTCAAGTTGGGCGGCGTCGAGAAATGAGGGGTTTGAATAATAAATTTAACATAATTAAATAAAATATTAAATCTTAAATTGAAAATATCTGATTTTTAGTGCAAACAAGTTAAATGTGGTGAAAAGAAAAATTATTTAAATTAAATTAAATCAATATATACATATATATACATATATTTATTTAATTTATATATGCATATAAAAATATATATAAGAAGACTTGAGACAAACGCAAGTTGCTCGTTAAATAAATTGAGGCTTGAAAAATTAACATTTCGATTAGCTTCTATTTGCTAAAAACAAAATTTACAGCCATGACAACAATTCACAGTTATCAATTAGTTATTATAACGGTCAATGTCAGCAAACTGTTTATATATGGCTAATATCAACATATGTATGCTATATACTAAACTAGCCAGAAATCGCTTTAGCTCTGATTAAAGTCATTTATAAAAAATATCTTTAGGACATCAATTTGAGCAAATTGAAAGCATGTAAATCGTTAAGACAAACAGAAATCAAGTTGTTCCCGCCATTTAGTCAAAATTCACATAATGTTAATCAGGTATTTAGGCGGCTAACCAAATGTGGACAACGTGTTTAGCAGTGTCTTTATCCTTGTTGAAAGTGCGCCAAACGAAGACTAATTGTATAAGCAGAAGAAATTGAGATTTTGATGCTTTTTGTGAGAATTACATTTATTTAGTTACGTATACAGAGAGGCTGAGTATGCAATTGATTTGTGTGTTTAAAACTCTAAGCGAAGTGTTAAATGTATTCCAAGCGGAGAGGTTCAGGTTCCCAGTTTTATATATGTATTTAGACTAGAGTCAACAGGTTTGGTGGCTGGTTGGCTGGATGGCTTTTGGTCTTAGCCCAACAGCAGCTTCTTCAGTTTCTTCAGCTTGAATATGGCCTGAGGATCGTAGGGATTGTGCACATCGTCAGCCTGGCCATAGATGTTGTCGCCCTGCAATGCCTCATCCACTGGCACAGCGGCAACCAGAGCCACAGCCAGCAGGCAAACGAAAAGGGCCTGCAAAATGTTGATAAGTATTCATGTTATCCTTGAAATCAGAGAGATGCCTTGAACACTCACCAATGCGATATACTTCATTGTAGTTAACAGTAGAGCTGCTTAATCCAAAAATTTGACTGCACTTGGTGATCAGAGTGGCAGTGGCTTTTATACCCAAGCGTTGGCGCCCGAAAAAAGATGAAAGACAAAAAGAAACCCATCAGTCGATGATAATGTCGTATGTAAACTGCACATATTACATTGCCAGTCAAGTTTTGGCGATACATAAACAGAAGCGCTTAAATAAACGAGTCTGGTCAACAAAAACAAAAAGGGGCAAGAAAATAAATAAAAATAAAGAAAAACTGATAAAAAATTGCAAATTGCAAATTGGTCGAACGTGGCGCAGTCAAGACTTTTGAGCCCTGCTGGGCACCTGCTTGTGGCACTCTTTGCAAATAAAACATGTATTTTTCAGGCAGTGCAACAACAACAACAGAGCAGCGAGACACGCCTGCCACTGTTTGCATTGGTTAAGTCAGAGCCAGAGTCAGAGCCAAGTGAGCTGTTTGTGCCACTGAAGAAGTTTTAGTCAGTGTTCAAATAAACTCTAAACTGAAGGCGACGGCATGATTATTGATGGATAAATAAATACTTTTTCATAAAAACTCATCTACTCTTTGAACACACATTGTGCAGTTCAGCATTTCAGATTTACATAGCTGAACTGAAGGTCATGTCAATCCAAATATAGAGGCAGAGCTCTGTCTCAGATCACTGTAAGAGACTTCAATAGTAGATTCTTCAAGAGCTCTTCAAAGATTTGTGAAAGACATGATTTGCAGCTCTGTAACAGAACTCATCTTTTTGAGAGAAAGAGCAATGTAACAATGTAATTCAGAGGTTTTGTAACAGAGATCTTTCACTGATCGAGAGCAGAGTTCCATAACAGATCATGATCTGTAGTTCTGTAACAGAGACTATAGAGCTCTGCTATGTAACAGAAATTCAGAGGCTCTGTAACAGAGCTCTGTTACAACCTTCTGCAACTCAACTTCTAGAAAATTCCAACAGTTCTTCTGGAACTCTCTAACAGAGCTAGGTTACAGTGTTAATTGACTATGAGTAAAGCCTGCAAAGCATGACTTTTATTTTTTACTATTTATTTAAGAACAAACACTGCAGTATGCGGAAATGGAATTTGTTCGTATGCATACGATAAGAGACCTTACATCATAGCCCACTTAAATTGAAATGAATTGATTAACACTTATATGTCTGCTCGAGTGGTTCAAATGTTGTAGCTAATCTGAGCTTCGATCAAGATCTTGTATAATTCGCACCTTGAGTAAACGCATCAATGGACAAGGCAATTAAATTCAATTTGGAGTTGAAAACATAAAAAGGAAAAACATATCCATAAATATTTGGGGCTGTTAGAAGCGCCATCAAGCTGAGAGATTGAAGCGCTACGACCACATAAGCCAAATATTGAAATGGAAACCGAAACAGAATAAACGCTAGGTGTTGGCCAGAGAGCTGACGAAATTTTGTTTTATTTGGGGCCAGTCAAAGTCAATGCCGTTTCAAATTACTATTTTTCTTTTTTCTGATTGACGAATGCAGTGCAGCGGAAACGAATGAAGAGCTTCAGAATGAATTAGCCGACAGTAAGCATGACAAGGCATATATATTTACGAAAACAGCTAAAATATGTAAGTCGGTTTAGTTTTATCTGTTTATGCAAATGAGACTCAGCTAATGTTAACAGTTGCAGCTTGTTTGCTTAGACCCACACATTGTTTGAATGCTTTTTGATCAAGTCATCGTCACGTCACGTCTTGTCGTCGAGTTGTCTGTGCGCGCAAAGCCTCTGCTTAACCCGTTTCTGTGCCCATGGGCATTTCAATTAAGGGCGTGGCTCGAGCTGACAATTTATTTATGATCCCCTCTCTATAGACATGTATTTCGCACATATCACATATGAAGATTGTAAAGCTGTCGCAAGTTGTCTGGGAATTAGTTATAAAAGTGCGTAACATTCACCTCACTTTTGGCGCCCAAATGATGTAGCATAAATGGTGGTCATATAATACATATATATGTATATATATATATATGTTAATGTGTATATATATATGTGGGTCAGATGAGCTCTGTTGGCGACCTAGAACACTTGACTCAGCACATACTAATTAGGGTCTAACCATTTAGCTGTTAAACTGAAACAAATCACGCATACGCCCCCCGCTCGTAGCTTTGTTTAGCCCGAATATACAAACGAGTTGATAAGCATCGGGGGATCCAATATGCCCCGACGTGGCTTGCAAACAAATCCATTAGGTCAGGCGACGTGGCGTGACTGAACTGAAAGTGAAGCGAGTCGTTTGGAAACTCTAAAATGGAGAGCGCGCAGCTTGCCGCAGCTGCTTGGTTATGAGTTCATATCGAAGACTTCTGGCATTGGCCTGGATGGCGACACAGGCTCTTAGCGTAAGTTTTACATGACGGCAATTAGACTCTTATAATAGCTCGCGCCACCTCCAGCTCAATATGCAAATTGATGAATTCTACTCGAAGTCGTTTCTGCCCAACAACATGATCGTCAGCTACAATGTGCGCAAGCCGGATGCGCTCAACTTCAATTTGACGGTTTTGGTTCATTTTCCTGGCAAATTGCTCATTCAGATCTTTGTGCGCAGGCTGGACGATGTGCCGGGCGGGCCGAATTCCTTTGAGATGCTTAGATTAAAAAATATGGACTTCTGCAAGTCGCTCGAGATGCTGCGCAACATGACAAATGATAAATTCCACGGCGAGTCTCTAATCCCGTCCACATTTCTGATGTCGTGTCCACTGATGCCGGGCTTCTACTACGTAGAGAATAGCAGCTTCGATGTCAGCGTGTTGCCTTGGCTCATCAAGGATGGCAGATACTTTGCGCTGCTCGAGCTAATCCAGGTCTACGAAGAGGTAACCAGATTAATCAATTTCAAAGTAAAGGTCAGCAAGAAGACGCCCGAGGCGGAACAGACAAGCGAAAATCAGAAAACCAGCAATGAGCTTGGCTTTAATGAGCTTAACTTTTGATATAAACTTCACCTGATTGAGCATGTAGAATATGACAAGCTGCTGTCGCCTTTTTGAATCTGCATAGCAAAAAGCCGACAGCAGCTGCAAAATATACTATAAATATGGCCCAGACCTTTGTTTGTGATCATTTGGTTAATTTGTCTCCGCCTGAAATGACAAATGCAAGAAGCGCAGCATTCGGAAGCTGAAAACATTATTCAGTTGATGTTGGTTTATGGTCGCACATGCGTGAACATTGCACAGAAGATATCTGAAATGAGCTGATGAACTTGAACTAAAAAGACACAGTAAACGCCCATGAATTATGCGAGGCAAGCAGAAAAACAGAAATCGGGGCAAGCAAACGCAAGCGCGAACCCGAAAATGTCTCAGATAAATCATAGCCCAAAGAGAGTCGCACGCAGGCAGCCATAAATTAAAGCGCGAGTATTTTTATTGCAATTCGCTTGTTTGTACCAACAAATAACAAGTACAAACAACGCTCAACGACGACAGCAGCAGCAGCAGCGGTAACATGGTAAACAGAAGGCGGGCTGGGCGGGTCTTAAGCCGCAAAGTACAGTGAAAGTGACGTAATGCGGCGTTGGGCATGGTAAAATATAAAAAAAGAGGAGGAAAAGTACAAAAAGAAGTTGAAAATAAAAGGCATTAAACGGGCGACAACAATGTAGAGCGCAAAATGTCAATGTCTTTTACAGCACCGGAAGAAGAAGCAGCAGCAGCAGCAGCAGCTACCAAACGCTGACCATTGATATGGACATTGGCAGACGCTGCGTATACGTAATCTGTGTGTTGTCAGTGTTGCTCTTGTTATTTTTTGCACAAACAAATTGCACATGCATCGCACATCCGACAGCGGCTTACATTTATTTACTTTTGCTGGACTTTTTCTTCTTTTTGCTGAACTGTTTTATTCCACTTTTGTCTTTGGGTTTTTTATCGCCTGCCTTTACAATTCAATGTCATTGCATTGTTGTTTTTATTCCCCTTTTCTGTTGTTGTTAATGCCTGCTGCATGTGTCGCAACTGCCAAATGTAAGAAGCCAACCGGTTGGCCAGCCATGTAACAGACTGCAGTTTCAATGTTAATTTGTCTGCGGCCGCTTGACCTTGAAACCTGTTGGCAACTGCAATGTGCCTGGTCTGTGGTCATCTTTGTGGTCAAGCTCATGCATTATGTATCCACGACTCATCAACTTTTATGATGCTGCCTGCCGGCCCGTCGGCCTGGCTCTACAATAATTGTTATTGAAGCTAAATATATATATTGTTGTGTAGCCCGCCGCAAAAAACGTTTTCCAGTCTCGACCAGATAAACTCAGCAATGTAGGCGTTGCATTTCGTTAACTGCTTGATTACAGCGCTAGATGCTGCGCTGCTAATTAACAGCAGCCTTGACGTGCTCTGTAATAGCTCATGTTAACGCTGATCAAATTCTGCTTAAACAGCTTAAACGTCGCTGAGTTTCAGTTCATGTATACAAATTTGATGCTCAGCTCTATTAAAAGAATTCCATTGTATTTACTAATAAGTTGCATATAATTAAACAGGAAACGGTTAAATGAAATAGTTAATTATGGCAAGGTAACATTTATGTTTGACATAATACATAAGATAGACGCTTGACTTACTATATAATATATATTTAAGCATGGTTAGGAAGGCAATATACAGAGATGTGCGCATACATACATGCATACAAGTATACGTACATACATATATGCATAGCTTATAATGACAACATTAAATTTCATAAATTTGTATTATTAAAAGTTATAAAAATAAAAATTTTTATATATTTTCTAAAGTTTTCTTATAAATATTTTATTTTTTTTTTTGGAGTAGAGAAATGTTTATTGAAATAAAAAATGCTTGTAAGTTAATATTATTTGATATTACATTATATTATATTTAATATTATATTAATATTTAATATTATTAAGTTAATATTATTTTTTATTATTTTTCTGCAGCTTCTGGCTTGGATCTTCCTCTATCTAGATTGGGTTTCTTTAAATTGTTCGATTCAATGAAAAATCTGACTTTACCTTGCAATTGACAGTCCTCGAGTTAATATTTTATTCATTATTTTTGTGAATATTGATTGCGGCGCGAACTGTTTGCAATGACGGCATTTAGTAAACATTCGTATAGTTGATTGATTTCAGAGATCAAAGTTAGCTGCTGTAATAAAAAATGTTCACAATACCAAAAAACAATGTTTTTAGCTGCTTATTTGCTTAGCGTATATGTTGTCATAGAGAGAGAGAGAGAGAGAGAGGGGGGGGGGGGGGAAACGACAAGAATTTTTGTCTAACTCGCGTTCAAAATGTGGTTTACTATAAGCAGCTCTCTTCGTGAGTGGGTGTATGTGTGTTGATATGGAGTGTACTTTTAGATAAAATGCAAATTCCCGTTAATTGAACGCCAAACAAAAGCGCCGAAGAGGCAAAAACATAGTTGGGCTTGAAAAATCAATTAGCAGCATAAAATGCTTTGGTTTAAAGCCGAGACCAGGTTATTGTGTAGCTGCTGCTGCTGCTGCTGTTGTTGCTGATGCTGGTATCAGTGTGGCATGTAAACATCCTCGCTCTGCCCGTGCCCCTGCCCCACATTCGACGTGCAAATATCGAGCCAGCGAGCGAGCAAGTGGAAGCAGTGGAAAAACCGCAGCTGCTGCTTTAAATTTATGCCATCGCGGTATTAGAAGCATAGTTTGCGGTTACCGCAAAGCGAAAGGCGTTCAGCAGTGGGCGTGGCATATCGGTGAGGTATTTGGCATGGAACATGGCAACAAAGCGAAATGCAAGAAATCAAGGCTTTAGTTGTGGGCGGGCACCCACAAAAGGCGAACAAAAAAAATGGCGCGCTTTTATGAATATTTATAACACAATGGAGCATGAAAAAGTTGTTCGGGGCTTTATGCAATGAATGTATGCATACAAGTATCCTTCTGAGTATATATGTCTGTGTGTGTGTGTGACTCTGTGTGCACATGCATGCATTTAAAGCGCCCAAGGTAGGGCGTGGTGGCCCAGTGCATGTTATCGATATCAATGCATTGCCAGAGGCAGTCAACAAAAGGGGCCCAGCCAAAGGTAGGCAGAGGTAGAGAGGTAAAGAAGGGAAGTCAGTTTATTGTCGGAATTAATAATGACAGCTTATACTGTAATGAAGCTGTTAAGAAGTGCACAATATCGCATTATTAACTGATCTTTTCCTTGATTCGGTTATTGATTATCGAGGTTATGGAAAAGAATTAATTGAGTGGGTTGTTAAGCTTCAGATAAAACGCTTAAAAGACGATATTAAAGTTTATTATGTGTATGTTTCGAGTGAAAAGGAAGTCCCTCTGAGCTCTGCCTCTGCCTCTGCCTGCCATGCTGCTCCTCTAACAATATCATCTTTCATTCGGCAAGAAATCTCAAATACTATGCAAATTGGAATGCTAAAGCGAAAGTGCATTCATTTTGTGAGTTTTCTATTTCGACATTTAGCTGCATGGAAAGCTGCTCTGCCAACTATATCGATATTATTAACAACATCAACTGCAGTCGGCTATGCGTATGGATAATATATATTATGCATACGACCTGTGAGCAGCTACCTTTTCTAGTGTCTTCTGCCAATGCATTAAAAATGCCGTTTATAGAAATGCTTTCGAATAAAAACGGCCAAAATGGAAATCTTGAATAAATGCTAAGTAAATTATGAAATTTCGTGTTTGCATAAAATTTTGCGTAGCTGCTACTGCTGCTGCTGCTGCTGTTGCAATGGAAATTCAAATATTGATTGTTGCCGTTCGTTTCGATAGACACGTGCCGCTGCTGGCGCCATCTAGCGGTCGCTGCATGCAAATTGCAAAATCAGTGCGTGACTTGTAAGATTAAAGAGCGAAGCTCTGCCAAAATAAAACAGTTTTCTCTAATGCCAACCCAAAGGAAACCAAAAAAATGCAAACAGAAAAAACACAAACTGCATTAGCTATGGCAACGAACTCAGTTAACGGTACTTTTTCCACTGGTCACTCGGGCAGGCGGGGCGGTGCGGTGCGGCCACCGAACGCCCTTCAATACCGCCATCTCGCACGTGTAATGCCCCAATCAATGGGCCAACAAACAGAGTCGCTAATCACGTCGTCGTCAGCCTTACAAAAGGGCTAATAGCGAACTAATTTGCCATCGCTGCCCAGCCGTGACTTTTATGTGCCGCATATTTCATCTGGCATATTTCTTATTTGCGACACCGCTTACAAAGCAAACAACAAAATCAGCTCGTGTTGCCAATTTGACAGCTACAACAACAACAACAACAACAACAACAATAACAATAACTGTAACGATCAAAATACGTACAGCCGGCAAACAGTCAAAGTCAAAGACTAACAAGAGTCGCCGTCAACGCCCCACTTCACTTCAATTCACTCCAATGACTGCCACGCCCGCCTTCTCTTTGCCCCTTTCAACAAAAGCCTTAACGATGGCCCAGCTTCACTTTGTATTCTCAACTCTCAATTTTGATTTCATACATATATATATATATATATCTATCCCAATTTGGAAACATGTAGTTTTATGCATTTCTTAAGTTGATTTTTGTGTTTCTTTTGGGTTAGCAGAAGTTTTGGTTCGACGTTCTTTTGTGTGTGCAGGTGCGACAGGTGCGGAGCTGAGGTGCACTTCATCAGAGTTATTCAAACTTTTGTCAGTTGTTCGGTTTATTGGCACACTTTACGGAAAGTTTATTGATTTTGCCATTGCATTGCATTGGCTCAAAGGTATTTTGCATGAAAATATTCAATTGTAGAAATAATAAATATTTCCATAGATTGCTCGAGATATGTGAGTTGAGCTTTCACATTTTACATTCTGCAGTTATGACTGCTCCATAGCAGTCTGCTGCCAGCTGGGCAAGTTGATCATTTCAAATACAATTTCATTTGGCAATTCCTTGAGCAGGACTTTGCAACTAATTTGATGCATATAGAAATTATTTGC